AGGTGAGGCTGTTCAAGAATCAGACCCAGCGGCCGTCACCGCGCCCAAGCTTAAGGGCTCTGTGGCGCGCGTTGAGTACCGCGACCAAAACGGCAAAGTTCTTGACGAGAACCTTGTAGCCTCGCTCCGAGCAGAAGGTAAAGTCAAGTTCGAGACTCGCTATGAGGCTGGTCATCCTCTGGAGAATGCCCATGAGGTTCCTATCGTCGATGGCCAGCTCGCTCCCCCGCACCCGGATGTGCAGGGCCAGAATCCCGAGACTGCCAGCGCGCCCGAAGACATCGTGCCCCCTGAGAGCCCCGCATCTGTGGCCGATGGTAACGAGCGCTCCGTCGAGCAGCCAAGCTCCATGGAAGCCAAACCTGCCAGCGAGGGCAATGATGCGACTAGCTAGTGGCCGGAAGATAAAATGTAAGAGGAGAGTGGATTCTGCCATGTATAATGAGACTCCATAGAGTACTTGTCCATTTCTCTAGTCAATGTTAGCTTTTTTTTAGTGTTGCCACAATTGACAGTAATAATTTTTGCTATATAAAATAATATTAAAGGTAGTCAGTTAGCTGGCCAATCTCAGCGCTTGTAGCTCTGGTTTGTCAGGTATGGTTCTAGATTGCTAATTCAACCTTGTAACCAAGCCAGCAGGATACGGATCTAACGGAAGAAAGAGACATATTCCCAATTGACTCTTTATCTGAATACGGATACTATGCACAAATCTCTTGCTATCCAAATGGCAAGTTCACGCAGCCCTCTCCTCTCCCCGGTCTTAGTGTACAGCAGCCGGCCGCGGGAAGCAGCGGTTCGCTTCATTCGACTTCTTAAGGCACTTCTTGTGGCTAATCAATAGCCGTTTAGTAGTCCCACTCCTCCTTGCCGTACTTGTTGAACCGCTCGTGGAGGTCCTATTAGAAAGAAGCTAATGTCAGCATTTACTACCAAAACAGCAACGCGATCACACATGACACTTTCAACAAGTTCTGAAGTGATCCAACCAACGTATGGCATAAATAAGAAGTATCAGCGAATTCATACCTCGGGCAGGGTGACATTGGGAACAATGACAGTGTTCATGGCGCTGGGGGCAGCACGGAGGGGCTGGTTCTTGTCGCCGTGGGGGTGGTACTGGTACTTGTAGACCTTGCCATCCTCGGACTGGCCCTGCCAGGGCATGGCACTCTCGCCAATGCGAACGTTGCTCTCAGAGGTCACGGAGGTGGGCTTGCGGCCGAAGTACCTATATTATCGCAAATACCGAACTGATTAGCGACCGTGGTGATTATTGTATGTGTATGCGCCATTGAGAGTGATAGGTAGGTGAGGTAAACCCCAAAAGAGGTGCCGACGTCACAGTGGCGGAAATGGGGCGACCCAGGGACGAGGCATTGTAGGGCAATTTCGGGAGGGATGCTCACCATCCGGCAATCAGGAAAGCACCAGACATGACACCGAGAAGGACCTAGAAGTACAGCAGTTAGGACGAAAGATCGAGCATGGTTCAATGGCTCCGTGGGATCCGTACGTAGAGCTCGGGATCACGCTTGCCGGCCTTTTCGAGGTTGCCCTCCTCGACCTTGGCGGAGCTGAAGCGGCGCGGGGGAGCGCGGAGGAGGGACTGGCGGGTCAGAGCCCGGCGGGTAGCCAGAGCAGCAATTGAGGACATGGTTGCAGCAATTCGAGCGTGCGTTGGAAGGATAATTCGTGGGCAGAGAACTGGAGACGGGATAGTGGGAGAGAATCATGAACGTCGAATGATGTTGCCGGAATATCAGGTGACGCTGAGTCAGCACCGGTTCAAGCAATATGGGTCACGACTTTCGAGCTTCCTGTTGGTTGATATTCTATGGTTCAAGTTATCTGACTTGCTGACGCATAAACGATCATTCGGTGTTGATTCTGTGATGTAATTGGCCTTGACGATTTGTTTGGCCTCTCGATCGCTGTTTATGCCTGAGGTATGGTGTTCCGGTTCTTTCCATCAGGGGCTCTGTCTTGGCCCCGGCTTTGCGGCGCGTTTGTTAATTTGAGCCTAATGGGATTATAGGACCTTGATTAATCCGTCTATTCACTTCGCTCATTAGTTAGACATTGTCTCGGCTCCATCGTCACTCCTTTCTCAGCTCCGCGCGCTGCTCACCGTATCCCGTCGATATTAACTGCCTACGTTACACCGCAATTCGCTTCCATCCCTTCGCCGTTGCCAATTAGGAACACAATATGATAGCGTGCATTTACATCTAGCAATTTTTAATATTCACATCCTTTCATGGCCATGGAAAACTCCGCAGATCGTCCAGAGACCGGCGACACAAACCAAGGATCGATACCGCAACATGTACTAGGGATTCCTCGCCCTCCCTCTGTTGGCGGAATTTCGTCCCGAGTGACAGATGAAGATGGAGAGCGAACACCATCTTACACATCACCTACCCAGTCGCGGTTCTCTGCTACCTCCAGGCGTGCTCCTCCAGTGCGGAACTCCATCAATGCACCCAGCCAGGTGACCAGCAGGCCTGGTAGCTCGGGCAGTCGTTTGAGTAGAACACATATACCGTCCCTGACGGCACAGGGGTTTTTTCGGCCCATGAGCTCGCAACGATTGCAGGCACACCGAGGAACACGCCCTGCGACTAAAGGGACGATTTCATCCACCGACGACTGGACAGAGCATGGAAGCCAGAACAGGAGGAGCTTAATCTCTAATACTAGCACAGCCCCGCAAGTCTCTCAGCTTCCGGCTGATATGGAAGCTCCTCCGTCTCGGGGAACAGAGTTCACAGATTCTATCATTCCAGACCGCAACACCTCCAACGCTAGCCCTGCCGGTAACACAACCATCCGCAGTCTGGGTGAAAGCGTCCGACTGCTGCGGGATCGAGATCAAAAGGAGAAGCCCCAGCGTCTCAACCTGGGTGCTAACTATACAGGGAATGCCGGGCAGGAGGCACCGCCAAAATCACCCCTTTCATTCCTAGCATTGCAAAATAGGGGCGCCGGACACAACCACGATTCTCGGGCTCATCAAGGCCACGAACATCTTTCCTCCGCTGGCTCCTCTCCGGGTTCCATTGACCTGAAAAAACCCCCTCTACAAAAAACGAATTTGGGCAAGAATTACCAGTACTTCCTTGGCAACACATTCTTCTGCGGCGGAGGGCGGTTCCAGAACTCGAGAGACAAGCCTGTCAATATTGCAACAGGGCTTCTAATCGTTGTACCATCGGCACTGTTCTTTGGCTTCTCGTACGTGAATTCGCTTGATGTGACCACTGGGCCACTAGCTAACCTCTGAAATCAGGGCTCCCTGGCTGTGGCATAATATCTCTCCTGCCATTCCCATAGTGTTTGCTTACATTTTCTACGTGTGTTTCTCGTCATTTGTTCATGCGTCCGTTGTCGACCCTGGAGTAAGTGACTCGTTCTTGATTGGGTTTGGTGATCGCTAACATGATATTTCCAGATTATGCCTCGGAATGTACATCCTATGCCTCAACCACATTCTTCGGACGATCCTCTGGCGCCTGGTCCGCCGACAAATGACTGGGTCATGGTCAAGCTTGCTACTTCCGATGTAGCTGCCATGGACGTGCCTGTGAAATACTGCAAGACATGTAATATCTGGCGGCCTCCTCGCTGCTATCACTGCCGTGTCTGCAACAACTGTGTGGAAACCCTCGACCATCACTGCGTGTGGCTTAACAATTGTGTTGGTCGCCGAAATTATCGCTATTTCTTCACTTTCGTCAGCTCTTCAACCCTCTTGGCTCTCTTTTTGATCGGTGCTAGTCTGGCACATATATTGGTCTACAGATCTCGGGAGAGCATATCATTTGGGGCTGCAATCTCTAAATGGAGAGTCCCATGGGCCATGGTGATTTATGGGTTGGTTGCAGTGCCATACCCTACATCGCTTTGGGCATATCATCTCTTCCTAGTTGGTCGCGGCGAAACTACCAGAGAATATCTCAACTCGCACAAGTTTGCCAAGACTGACCGACACCGACCATTCACCCAAGGAAACATCCTCAGGAATTGGATTGCTGTTCTTGGGCGTCCTCGCCCTCCTACCTACATGCAATTCAAGCAGCGGTATGAAGACGGTGACCAACGCTTAGACTCTCAAAAGAGCAAATATCGCGTCCCGGATGTCGAGTCCCAAGGTATTGAGATGGAACAAGTTGGTCCCCAACAGGATTAAAACAAAAAGTCGTTTTTTTGCCTGTCGGCCTTGTTTCGACGGCTACGATCTGTGAAGATGATATTTATGATTTCCTCTTTTTTGCTTCCCAATAATTCCTGTTCTTACTCATACCAGCGCATCTATCACTTTCTAATCACTACATTACACATACCCTTCTTGTCGCCATCCCTCTTTGTTCAATTTGCTATACCTAGCGCAGACATAATTCTCTCATTCTACTGATCTATGACGATCTATTTCTTATCATGTTATATGCTGTTACTTGTTGTGACTACATACCTGGGAATCGGTAACCCTATCCAGAATTAGCCTTTACTTTCCACGTCCTATTAGGACTATATATTCACCGTTGCTTGGACATTTGATATCATCCAGTGTATGTCACGGCTAGAATAACAGTCCATATATCCATATCATCCCAGACATAGATTCTCTCATGTTCATGTGGGGGCGAGAGGGAGCGATTTCGGCATTCGGCACAAGATCTAGCATTGTAAGCCCTGGAAGATGCTTACTCTTCCCTTCTCCCTTATCCCTTGCTTTCTTATTCTTCTTATTGCGGTAATATTCTTGTACGTTGGGACATTCTACGATTGGAGTGTTCGAAAGGGTTGTTGCACGCGTCAGACTCTCGCCCTAAATTGATAAGAAGCGCGGCGCGGGAAGCTGATCCTCTTCGATCCACCATCTTCCCCTGGTATTACCCCAACCACTTTGACCACACGCGGCAGTTGTTCTACATCGATAGAGAAAGGGCGGTTCCAGGTGGAATTGTCCTTCTTGTTATCCCATCCTCTCCAAAATGGCGCCACGAACGTCCCGATCAACCGCGTCCGCAGCTCCCGATGCCCAGGCTCACGAGCCTACTGAAGACAACATGAGTCTCGACGTGCCAGAACAACTATTGACGCCTGAAAACAGCCGCTCGGAGACTTCAAGCAACAACGAGAACGCGCTGACCGACGAAACATCCGCAGGACGGCGAAGGTCAACACGGGTTACTCGCGCATCGTCGCGGCCGAGTGAGCCACTGGAGGACACACCTGAGAACGAGGAACCCGCAGCCTCATCTAGCGAGGCCTATGTCGACAGTCTTGCCAAGGCGAAACGCTCGCACTCTTCTTTACGCCACAGTATTGCAGTAATGGAATCTTCCTTGCGGAGCGGAACCCCAGTCAACGATGATACTGCGGCCGACAGAACTATGGCCCCCGACACGCCTGTCTCGAGGTCTTCCCAGGGCTTGCAATCCGAGGATATGAATATGGCGCTTCAGCAGCGGACGCTACGAAACCGTGTGGGGAAGGAATTGGTCGAAGACGAAGGAACGACCACGGCCGAACTAGTCCCATCCCGAACCTCTCCGCGCAAATCTCTACGACGGTCAGGTCGCTTCGATTTATTGAATAAGGCTTCAGATTTGGTCATCCGGGCCAGCAGCATACTGGGAAAGCGCACGAGAAGCCAGACAGACAAGGATCTCGATCGGCGTAGCAGTCTCCGCTCTCGCAATATTGTCCCGTCGAAAGATGAAACGGCTCTTTCGACAGCCAACGGGCCAGCATCGAAGAAGCGTCGGGTATCTGAGAGCGACTTGTCCAAACTCCGGGATCAGGATAGTTCTGAAGAGGAACCGGCTGTGCCTGCTTCGTCGCGACCTAGGCGCAAGATATGGCTATCACATGGCCTCTATACAGGACAGGAACCCTCAGACTCGCCTCCTAAGCAGCGTCGGAGTAAGAATTCGAAGAAAACTGGAACGGGTCCCATGCATCGCACCATCCTTCCTATGCCTATGTTCAAAGGTGCTCGGCTTTTGAAGACTGGACGGGACTACCTGCTGCCGTTTGATATCTTTTCACCACTACCACCTGGCCAGCCTAAGCCTGATGAGTGGCGCAAGACTAACAAGAGTGAGTGACGAGTATCCTACATCATGAAGTGAGGGCTGACAGACAGTCTAGATGTTTTTGTTGGTGATGCCGGAAGCTTCTGGAAAGCCAACAAAAAACTCGAGCTGTCTACTTGTATGTGTACCGAAGACACTGGCTGTGATGATAACTGCCAGAACCGCTATATGTTCTACGAGTGTGACAACGGTAACTGCAGGCTGGGTCCCGAGTGCGGTAACCGAAATTTCGAGGGCCTTAAGCACCGGACCAAGGCCGGGGGCAAGTATAACATTGGAGTCGAAGTTATCAAGACAGCAGATCGCGGGTATGGCGTTCGCAGCAATCGTTCCTTCGAGCCCAACCAGATTATCGTGGAGTACACCGGCGAGATTCTTACCCAGCTTGAGTGCGAGAGGAGGATGAGAACAGTATACAAAAACAATGAGGTACGTGCCCTTTCTGTTGGGCTTTACTACTTACTGACATCGTGAACTAGTGTTACTATCTCATGTATTTTGATCAGAATATGATCATTGATGCTACTCGCGGTTCTATTGCTCGCTTTGTTAACCATGCCTGTGAGCCAAACTGCCGTATGGAGAAGTGGACTGTCGGTGGCAAGCCACGCATGGCACTATTCGCTGGGGATCGAGGAGTCTCGACAGGGGAGGAATTGAGCTATGACTACAACTTTGAGTGCGTATTACATGCATATCAAGCTACTTGACCATGCGCTAACGATGTACCAGTCCTTACTCTAGCAAGAATGTTCAACAATGCCGCTGTGGATCAGCGAACTGTCGAGGCTTCCTTGGTCCCCGACTAAAGGATAAGCAGCAACGTGCCAAAGAACTCGAGAAACGAAAGGCCGAGGGAATTCAGCAGGCAACTACAAAAAAGGTCATCGATAAGAAGCGCAAGGCCTCAGAAGAAGTCGAAAGCGATGACTCCCATCAAGGTAAAAAGCGCAAGATGACCAAGTCCAAGGCCATCAAGGCCGGCGTGAAAAAGGCCATGGCTACCGTTCGTGGGAAGAAAACAACCAAGACAACGGCAAAATCCAAAAGCACAACCACTGTCAAGTCGAAGACCAACGTCAAGCTACCAACCGTGAAAGCTACAGGCCGGATGAAGGCCACTGTTCGCTCTTCCCGGTCTAACAAAGCAGCCAAGGAACCCCCGGCTTCTCCCAAGAGAACATCCCAACTCAAGAGGCCTTCTGCTGAGACTAAGAAACAAATCCTCGCTGCTGCTTCCAAAGGCTCTGGGGCTTCTCCCCGCAAATCTGCGAAGAAGGCCCCTACCCAGAGCCCCGTCAAAGCTAAGAAGCCTGCTCCTAAGGCTAAGAGCACTAGCAAAGGGAGATTTGGCAAGGGAGTCAAATCTGCGGCTCGCCGTGTTATGAAGTCAGTGAAGGGAGCAAGGAAATGATTGATCTCTGGTCAGACTACGGTCGTTATTGCTGTTACGGACTTGCTTGAAAGAACCGAATTATTTGCGCAACACATCTTTGCTGTCTGGAATCCTAGGTCTGTATTCTTTGTTGACCTTAATACTTGCCAGTGATCCATTCGTTCTATTCTATTTGATAATTTTCTGGTAATTTATTCTTTCTATGGCTAAAATTCGGGTTGGCAATGGTCCCCTTGCTCGACATCGTGTCTTCCCTTTGCTTCCTTTCGATTTCCCTGTGCGTTTTATTTACTATGGCTTCATGATTCCTTCGGTCTTGATTTATGCGTCACGGTTATGAAAGTGAGAGATTCTGATATAGCCAGGGTAAGATGCCTCTGAATTCAACATGGTTTCCCCTGGAACTCTAGTACTCCATAGCTCATTGGATGCATTTGTCCATGTTTCTTTCCCCAAGAGCTGTCGACTGCAAGACTATTCAAAATCCTACAACTATCGAGATTCAGATCACCCTACGATATGACCCTACTCATCTATCCTAGCCAATAAATCGTATAGTGTAAAAGGTTAGATCATCAGACCAAATCTATTGGCAAATTGAAACTATCTAAACCAGGGGAATCCATAGAAAAAGAAAAGAAAAAGCCCACGAGTTAAAAGCCAGCACTTTGTTCTATGTGCGGCAAAACATTAATCGACTCCAACAAGCCTCGCGCAACCTGAGAAATTTTAAATACGCTCCAGGAAGCCCTGGCTCTCCAAGATCAGAATGATCTCGTGCACGATGCTGCGCACACTCTGCTTGGAGAAGTCGACAACGAGATCAGCCTTGTCGGGAGTCTCATAAGGGTCATCAACACCAGTGAAGCCCTTGATTTCACCACGACGGGCAGCATCGTAGATGCCGCGCTTGTCGGACTTCTCGCAGTACTCGAGGGGAGTGGCGACGTGCACCAAGAAGAAGGAGCCAGCCTGGGAGACGGCGTCGCGCGCGAACTTGCGGGACTCCTCGTAAGGAGCAATGGGGGAGGCGATGACAGCGGCACCGGCACGGGTCAGCTCGGTGGCCACGAAGGCAATGCGCTGGATGTTGGTGTGGCGGTCCTCGCGGGTGAAGCCCAGCTCGGAGGAGAGCTCGTGGCGGACGGTGTCACCCAGCAACAGGGAGACGGAACGACCACCCTGCTGGTTCAGGGTAACCTGCAAAGCACGGGCGATAGCGTCCTTGCCGGAGTTCATGTAGCCAGTCAGGAAGATGGTGAAACCCTGGGTGGCGCGAGGTGGGTTGGACTCGCGCAGAATTTTGACAACCTCGGGGTAAGAGAACCACTCGGGAATATGGGCACCGGAGCGCAGACGACGGCGGAGCTCGGTACCGGAGATGTTGAGGGTCTTGACGCCAGCGGGGACCTGGTCAACGGGGCGGTACTCGTCGGTATCGGGGAGGTAGGTGACCATCTGGAATTCGACAACCTCGATGCCGAGCTCATCCTTGTACTTCTCGACGGCGTGTTGAGCATCGTAGGGACCGTAGAAATCCTCGCCCTTGGAGTTGGAACCAGGACCGGCGTGGTCACGACCAACAATGAAGTGGGTAGCACCATGGTTCTTGCGGATGATGGCGTGCCAGATGGCCTCACGGGGACCACCCATACGCATGGCCAGACCGAGGAGACCCAGGACGGCCATGCCGTTGGGGTAACGGGGAAGGAGCGCCTCGTATGCGCGGACACGGGTGAAGTGGTCAATGTCACCGGGCTTGGTCAGACCGACAACAGGGTGAATCAGGACATTGGCCTGGCGGGAACGAGCCGCGCGGACAGTCAGCTCACGGTGAGCACGGTGCATGGGGTTACGGGTCTGGAAAGCGACGACGCGGGACCAGCCCAGTTTGTCGAAGTGGACGCGCAACTCTGCGGGGGTGTCTGTGGAAGGATTCATTAGCCAGATTCAAGATCAGGATGAAGAATTGAACATACAGCGGAGGGCGACATAGTCGTAGTGGTTCAGCTTGTTGACAGCCTCGATCTTTCCACCAATGTAGAACTCCTCGACGGAGTTGTTCAAATACACGATAGCCGGGTGCTCTGGGTCACCGCCGAAGACAAGCTTAGCCTCTCTAGTCCTAAATTGGAGAACCGCGTCAGCGAGCCCCACTATAGCACGAACCACATCGACTCATTGGGTAAAGATTGAAGTTTTGTGACATCAAATGGTCATGATAAAGATAAAACAGGGTATCCGAGGAGAAATAACGATCGACAGTGCGACCGGTTTCGGCAAATTGTGAAAGAGAAAGAGAAAACTCACTTGTCGGGGCGGTAAATGTCATCAATGGTGAGAATAGCCAAGTTACGGTCGTCACGGAAGTCACGCAGAGTGATGCGAGTACCGGCTTGGAGCTTGTTCTCTTCGATAACCTTTTTGCTAGCGTCAAGGGTAATGGGCATAGAGAAAACATTGCCATCGGCAAGGCGGTTGTCCTCACAGACACTATGCACATTGTCAGCTGCTGCTGTTGTATATTGTCGTGCAGAATGAGGGGTTTCTCATTCCAATGGGATCATCTGTATCAAACATACCGGTCGTAGTCTGCCTGGTTCATGAAACCTGCATGAAATTAGTAATTGTCCTCTCTATGCGCATGTCCAAAGAGAAAGGTCATTTGAATCAGAGAATAAACAATTGCACTTACCCTCCAGAGGAGAGAAACCTCCGTTCATGATCAGCTCGAGATCGCACAGCTGGCGCTCGGTCAGCGTCACAGCGGGGAGAGTCTCGGCCTCGGCGGCGAGCTCGGCGTGACGGGGAGCATCGCGAGCGAGAAGGTCCTTGAGGACACCACCGTGGGGGGCGTTGGCCATAATGAATAATAAAGAACGAAAGATGGAATATGAAGAGAAGTAATGTACAAGAAAAGAAAAGAGGGAAAGGGTTTGGTTATCAAGAAATTTCGAGTATGGAGGGGTGTGGATTGCACCATCCACATCCAACAGAAGTCGTCAACAAGTGGAGACCGGTGGAAGTCTTGGCTTCGGGGTACAGGAAGTTGTTTGTGCTGTTGTTATGGATTTTATATGGATCCTAGGGCTATTAGGGCTATCATTATCTTATGTCGAATGCCTTATTCAGATAATTAGCACTATACAACATATATGTCTTTCTATTTTAGTAGTATAAGGGTATAATTCTGATATTCTGATCATCCGAAGACCGATCTACAACGTATAACTTTTGTACGTACTGCAGTTTCAGATTGTCAGATTTTCAGGGGCAATAGACACCCCTAGAACCCCTGACTGATATCATAGAGGCTTTGCTTCTAAAGAAAGATCTTGTACCCCGTAGTACGTAGGAGTACACGTACACTTAGTATACAACCGATATACCTAACGCTATCCGGAAGTCCAAAAGCGGCTTAGCTCGACGCCACATCTGCAGAGGCTGAGGTCATGTGACCAAGCACGTCACCTCCGCGCGGAATCACGACATCCCATCCCCCAATTAGGAATAGATCGCCCGGGTGATCTGAAAACCCTAAATCCGGCTAGAATTCCATTAATATACAACGCCAATAACCCGATATATTAAAACTATGGACACTATATACATCTTTCCCTACATATTTTCACTCCGCCTTCACCGTGCTATTGGGAAGTGTGATGGTCAATTTCTCGAAATCCACAGCAAACGCCCCTACCTTCATGGCCGGCTGAGTCGCGTTCGCATAGGAATCGGCCAGGTATTCTTCGATGTCCTCCTCCGAGGACAGAGCGGTGTCAAGCGAGCCTGTCTTCTGCAGAATATACAACACCGCAATTCGAGAAAACCCAACAACCTTATCGGGAACGCTGATCGCAGTGGATGTGGAGGCAGCAGCAGCAGTGGTTTGAGAGCTGGCCTTGGTAGCGGAGGCGCTCGTCGCAGACTCGGTTTGAGTGGGTGCCGACGTGGTTGTAGCTGTCTTGCTTGATTCCGAGTCGTCGTATAGGATACCGTTCATGGTGGCTTCGGAACGGACAGCCAGGACTGGTGTTGGGTCGGTTTTCGACACGGATGGCATCGAATCGGCTACCAAATTCACAGATCGTCGGGTCTTGCTTGTGTCGGTTGTGACAGCGCTGAAAGCTACGAGCGCGTTTTCGGTCGTGCAGGTGACGTCGTTCATGTTGAACAGAGCCATGATTGTGACTGGGTCGAGGGTGATGTTGAATTTCTCCTTGGATTCGTTGAACAGAACAGGAAGTGCACTGCCCATGGTCGCGTTCGATCCGTCACTTATCAGGGCGGTGGTGCAGCTACCGTCACCCAAAACGGTGCACTGTGAGCCGATATAACCGTTCGAACAAATGCACGAGCATTGGGTGCCGGCTGAGACGCTTACACCTCCGTTTTCACAAGGGTTCTTTTCAGCACAGGGCGTGCTCGCATTCTCGCGGGGCACGGCGACAAGGAACACGGGGAGAAGAACTGCCAGAATGACAATGATGAAGATTACGACACAGATGAGCACGAAGATCTTCCGAGGTATTCCACAGCATGTCTTCTTGCGTCGGGGAGCATTAGGGTCGTCGTCGCTCGAGTTAAGCTGCTCGACATTACGCAAGTTAGAGCGTCCAAAGAACACGGGCCATGATGCGGTTGATCCGCGCGCTTCGGGTGTCGCCAAACCCGGCGGGGGAAAGGAGGCAAGCATTTCCGATAAAGAGCCAGAATTACGTGGTCGGTGTCCTAAGCATAACAGCAGTTAGTACTATTTTCGGTTTCCACATAGCCTGGATCCGAAAGACTCACCCATCCCTTTGAATCCAGCCTCATCACCAGCCAGATTGGCTCGGCTGGCGGTTCTCCCATGATCCAGGTTCGATGCGAGCTTTGTCGCCCTCCGAATCAAATCAGATAAACTGGAAAGACTCCCACGAGCCTCTGCATCCCGCAACGCATGCATATTCAGAGCAGGAGGCTTGCGACCGCCAGGCCTCTTGTCACTCATTGTTGGTGCAGCGTTGGGCAGCTGTCCGAAGGCCTCGAGCTCTTTTTCGAGTTGTGCATTGGAGGAGAGCGATTCATGCTTTGTGGACAAGGGAGGTTTTTCTAAGTTCAGGCCTTTCGGTGGTTCACTCGATGTAGTAGACGACTTTCGTAATTGGCTTGGTATATGGGGCGCCTGGCTTGCAGCAGCTCCCAGCCCGACAGACCGCGCCGTGGTGCCCTTGGCGGATTCCTCCTGGGTAGGTGCTGGCATGTCTACAACGGAAACAGGGTTAGACTTGAGGATAGTACGCATCGTCGGCTTTCCTCGCTTTCCAATACTGGCATTTCGGACAAGCCTCGTATCGTCCTCTTGGAAGCCAGGTGAGCGCTGGCCATCGTCTGAATCTATGTCGTATGCTCCCAGAATCTCGGATTCAGCGGGACCGGATCCCCAGCTTGGGATGGCTCGGCTCGATGCGACGGAGCATTTTGTAAACCGAGGATGGGCGAGTTCTTCTGGAATGGGCGAAACAGATGATCGACGAGCCCGAGGGGGCCGTCGCGAATTCAGCGGTGCGACAAGACCTGCCGTCCGGTGTCTAGGCTCATCCTGAGAAAGATCGGACTCGGCTGGCAGAGAAGTGGGTGGAAATTGGGGCATATCGGAGGCTACAGATTGCCTGAACAAATCTTCCGTTGCGATCGATATTCGAGGAGTCAGGTCGATTGTGCTGGTGGGACTGGCAGGGGTATTATCTATCGGCCGGTGAGACTGCGCTAGCGCAGAAGGCTGAGGTTGCGAGGAGGACCGGGGAGGTAATCCCATTTCTGAAACTTGGCTATCTCGTTCTGAGTAAATGGATGGCGAAGGCATTTCACCCGGATGAGGTGGTCTCTGAGGTGGAGGACCACGCGGAACCAAATACCTAGGATGTTGATTGGCCGGGTGTGGTGGGAGACCTGTATCAGGAAGAGGCCATTGTGCCTGGTGGGAGATATTCCTAGGGACGGGAGGTTGTCTCATCTGGGGTGGCGAGGCTCTTTCTGGACGCACGCCGGCATCTAGCATTTGCCTGGCCCGTTTGACGGATCCTTTCCTGGCAGGCTCGCCAGAGGGCCCGGAGTTTGGTAAGTCAGTGCTCATTGAGAAGTATGGCTAACCTCTCACGAGAAGTTAGGGCTCGCAGTGTAGGAAGTGTGGCGTGGTACTGCTGTCCAAAAGAGAGACTTGTCTCTTAAATATTGAATGATAATGAATGATTGCTCGATGCCTTGATCGAGCTGAAAAAAAAAAAAAAAAACGAATGAAAAGATATCAAAAGGATTGAAACCAGAGAACCGGGGTCTGGCCACTGAGCAAGTGTCTACAAGATTGTAGAGAGTGGATAAAGCAATGAGAACGATCTAGCAAGGCGAGATCCACAGGATCAAGATCGCAAACGAATGGAAGGGCATTCAATGCCACTGTATAAAATCGTCAGGGCCAGCTTCAAGTCATCGTGAATTGGATTCGGAAGACTTACCGTTGAAAAAGGGGACTGGGAAAACGAGAGGAACCGCTAGTATCAAACTGGCGTTCAAGGATAGATTAGCCCCAGTCTTTGACCTGGATAGACTACCAATTCAAATGGGGAGAGCCTCAAGCTCTTCTAAGGGTGGGAAAAAGGAGAGAAAAGAGGCATTGAAACTGACACGACCAGGGCTATGGAAGCTAGTCCACATCTCAAACGGGAAGTATATTAAGGCTAAACCTCACGGATTAATCTATTCTTCCTTGATTTCGTGCACTTCCCTGTCGTATAAGAGTACGAAGTTGCATATATCCAAAGACTACGTAGTCCATGCATCCTGCATACTTCCAACCCCCTTCTGATCTGCATAGCACACATGTCGCTTTTCAGCATTGTACTTTTGTAGCGAAAAGAAGGGAAAAATGGAATGAAAGGTCAACCCCCTCAACATGAGACGGCCAAATTACTCCGTAGACGAATCACATCTCGACTGTATCAGTGGGGTTGGTGTTAGTCCCGGACGCTAACGTCTCATATAAAGGCTCCCTTAAGTAATTTGAAACTTGTTCAATGAGTTAGTGAATATGTTATAGCACATTTATATCCATGCATTGCATATTGTATACTCCATAGGCTTATAGACTCCATAGCACATGGGACTAAAAGACGTTGAATGCAAAATTAAAGGTGCAGGGCGGCTATAAACTCCGTACTTTGATAGACTAGGCTTTGCACTGAAACACCTTTAGCCCTACTTGGTATTAGCCATTTACAGCCCCTTAAATGAATAATTTATTGTACGATAGATATTTCTCCGCTCGAGTCTATGCATCCACAGTGGCCTGGTCTGGGCCCTTCCACATGAACAGTTCATCATGAGGATATATTGTACATGGTTTCCTGAGTTCAACTTTTAGATATGAGGCATTTGCGACTCCCAATTTTAATTACATCTGGTCATACAAGGTGATCTCCTTGGAACCGCAACAATATAATGCTTTGTGCGACCTGTCAACCAACTTGACCTTGCGACGACGGATCAACCGTGCAATATCGGACAAAGTCACGGATACCTACAACATAGTCGCATCGGGGGATTCGATTTCCAGCCGAGCCCGTAATTCGCTTATCTGCTGTTCCAGCGCTCGCATTTCGACCGTTGTACTAGCCAAATTCGGCACCTGATTGTCTATCGCATTTGCGAAAGAGTCCTGCGCCCTGCGCAGCGACTGGGGGACCAATATTCCATACCAATGAATTGGATCAGTAGAACGAAACTTCTTAGGAGCGGGCTCTGGTTTCTCGACAGGGGTGATTTCGGTTTCTGCAGTGTCAGAGGGTTCCGAGCTAGCCGTCTCAGCCGGGCTGGTTTTCTCATGTCCACTCTGGACCGGAGAAGAAGCTTTGGTCTCGTTATCCCCATCAGCCTCCTCTAGTGGATCACTGGTTGTACTTTTGATGGAGAATGTGTATCCAGGTTCAGGTGGCACAGTGATATCCCCTTTCTCTTGTGGATCGTTCGTGGGTTTCTCCGTGTCTTGTTCGGATTGGATTGATCTGTCAATTTGGCCCAGTTAACAAGCGCCAGGAATCAATGACAGCAGGTGAAGTTACATCTTTCTCGTTGCTTTCATGCGCCCATCGTAATAATCAGGACCATAACGGCGGCCAGGAGGACTAGAGAAGTTGGCCTGGGCGAGAGCAAAGAACCCCTACTTTGTCTCAGCATATTTCATGAACCATGATTGACAGCGTCATACCGACGACAGATGGCCTGCCAGACTTGACTGTAGTTTCTGCTGCCGATCAAGCAGATGCAAGTATTTCTCAAGGAGTGTATCCAAACATTGGACTGAATCCTCCAAAGCTACAGGTTTCACCTTCACTTCGGGTGCCTCCGAGCCCGGTCGCGACGCTGGTGGCGTGGGTATTTGAGCCATGGAGAAAAGACTAAAGGCCAATGAAGCAGATATGCAATGCAAATATCCACAAAACCGAGTGACTTGAACAATAAGTCCGATAAATCCCAAAAGCTTGAGATACAGAAGAAACGTGGAGCAAAGGAGCTCGGCCCCGGTAACTCCGTCATTCGTCTCCGAACCCAAAAGAATTTCCCATTTCTGCGCTTCTTCTTCTCTCTTGCATACTTCAACCCACTGTATCTCTTGTGTTTTAAGAGACTGTGCTACTATTGATCAAACCCATCGATTCCTGTGCGATTTAATTTCCCCCGAATCTTTGTTCTTGCAAGATCGAACCGCCACCCTCCGATTGCGTTTTTGATACGAGTCATTGCGCCCAACGTACGTGAACTACACTCTGGTATCTCGACCATTGCAATACGAACGGTCGCTCTAACCCAGCAGCTCTTAGGACCACTTCTTGCCGCCGCAGCGCCGTGTCGACCACGCGACCAAGGCATCGGTGATAACCTGGGTTGACCAAGCAGGCGTCTTGCACTACTCACATTCGGCTTTTTGACTCTGATTACCACTTGGATCCTCTTCAAAATATTATCATAACTTCAGCTACCATGTCTGTCGCGTCCCTGCACCGTGAGACTGCCTTCCAGGCACGGTCTTTGGTATGTCCTCTTGACTTTATATGCGCTTCAACCTCTTGTGTTTGTCCTTAATGCATCAAACTAACGAGCGTCTTTCTCTTTTCATTAGTTCCGCTCCCTTCTGCGCTATTCCGGACAGTTTTCCAACTACAACTTCCGTGAATTCGCTCGTCGGAAGACAAGGGATTCGTTCCGCGAGCACCAAAACGCCACAGAGGAACGCCAGATACAGGAACTGATCCAGGAGGGACTTAAGAGCTTGCGCATGCTGAAGGTCAGTGGTGTTACATGGCACTCTCGGGGTGAAACTCGGTCGGTGGCAGATATCGGGGATCCATCCTCAGCCCCGCATATTGAAAGTCGACGAGTCCTCATCCTACCACACTGCCCTACAAATCATCGGATCCAAATCTTGGGAATAATATACTGACATAGCCACAGAGACAAACGATCATCAGCCAGTTCTACCAGTTGGATAAGTTGGTGGTGGAAGGCCAGAAGACAGTAAGTTCTACCTTGGCCTAAGGCCTTCCTCCAGCACTCAAACTTACATTCTCTTTGAAGGGAAAGGAAACCGGGAACCATGGAGGTATTGTCCGCCAGAAGGATACTGGGTAAGTCATTCAAATGAAGCTCCAACCCACCTTCTGCATGTCACTGACTTGTAGTAGTTGGGATTGATTCTTAGACGTTGGATGGGAACTTGTTATTATTCCATTGTGTTTTTTCGATAACTTGCCACTGGTGGACTAATTAAACACCTGCTCTTTTTTGTATTTATACACCCAGCGATGCAGCTGCAGCTGTAGCTATTCTTTTATCAAGCACCAGAAACACCCATTCCACTCCTGAATCACAAAATAAATCGCTTTTACTTGAACAATTTGCTTTATATCAATTGAGGGACACTGTCACAATATAGATAGCTGCCATAGCAAGATATTGCATCAATGTTCAATAAGTATGCATCACGTGATATCTCTTTACGGTTCTGTAGCATCGCAACGCGACTTGAGGTGCACTGCACTGTACCACCACACACTCCATCACATCGCACTAAAGAATCCTGCCCAGGAGGTCGCCATAAGGACATTACAAGCTTTCTGATCGGGCGCACTTGCCTTTGAATTTGTATAGGGGCATCTGCCATGCCTTCCACGGTACGTTTCAACTTGCCCCCGTGGTGATCTAGCGCCGACCTGGTTGCCCTAGACACATGGTCATTCCAGATACTAGATCTTAAAATTCTCGAATTAGCTAGCTAAAATCCACCACAGTTCAGAGCCTCGCGCTCAGGGCGACACCTCGATGGTGCCCCAAACCGCACCCGAACCGGCCAAATCGATCACGATGTCTTTGAGGGATTGCCAGTGCGTCGCTGGTCCCGACAACAGCACACTTTCTCTCAAGCGCCTAAACCTGTTGAGTCGGAATTCGCCGTTCAAGGTCCAGGCGGCGGGCCAACGCTACCAGAGCTCCCCATGCCAAGAGACAGCCAGCTCCTACCGCCAATCAGTCGCGCACTCCTTCGAGCAGCCCGTGCTGGATGTATCCATATCCTCCAAGGTAGTCGAACAGAGGATGAGGATAAAAGCGGAGAAGATGCGGATGATTCGGCCTCCGCATCTCATGTGGCTGATCGGAGCTTCACAACTCGCAAATGGATGACGCTTCCCAAGCACCTCGAGCCTGCGGAGGTGGAGTTTCTGGCAAAGAGGCGACCTGGTCTTTCATCTCTTTATGGCACCGTTACTACTATAGATGGAAGCTCCGGGCCCATGAGGAGAACAAAATTCAAGAAAGTTGATCCCCAAACAGGCAACATCTCTATCTACGAGGCGTGGGTGCCTGAGGGCCATCGCATTGAAGGAGAGATTACTGGCGACTTACAGACATTTGCCGAGCAGAGCAATGTGCCTGTGAAGCCCGAGGCGCCTGCACCTGGAACAATCGTCGAGGGGGTCGGCATTGTCAATGCTGAGGGTGTTGTTGTTGCGGAGGCTGGATCAGCAGCTGTAATGACTCCTCCAAAACGACGTCCACCTCCACCTAAGCGAAAGGGCAAGGGTATTGGAAGGGGCCGGAAGAAGAAGGTCATGTTTGCGCCTGGCGAAGGGTCTGATGCCGCGACAGTACATGGAGCTGGCCCCTCTCATGGCAATGGGGAGGGTGACTACAAGAGAGAAGGTCAGCAGGATGCTTCACGTATGTCCATTGACCAGGCTGGTCAAGATGAAGACGATGAAGATGGTGACGAGGGAGATGACAGCGATGACGGTGATGATTCGATGATGGATGCGAAGACCCCTGATACACCCCAGCCTCTGTCTGGCGCTGAGTTTGTGAATCAGCCTTCATTCGAGACTCCTGCCAAGCAATCGGTTGATGTCGACATGTCTGATGTTGTTCCCGAAAACCGGCCCCATGCCCCTGAAATTCCTTCATTAAGCGAAAAGGACGAGCAAAACCAGCCCGAAAACACCTCGGAGGTGGATTTCGGTGCCCTGACTTCCAATGTTCCCTCAGAGAAGGCGGAGGTCAACGCTTCCGATGAGAAGCCTGTCATTTCGGAGCATGACAAGACTCCCACTTCTCCCACCACAACTGCCGCAACGACAAGTGAATCTACCGAGCTCCCAGCTGCAGTTGCCGAAGCTCAAAGTTCAGATATCAAGGTGGAAGGAGGAGAAGAAGCCACAGAGCCGACGGCTGACCTTGCACCAAAGGAGGAACCTCCTCTTTCAAACCAACAGGAAATTGCGACTACCGTGCCACCTGTTGACCCCGAAATTCCCTCGGAACCCCCAGTAGCACGACCTTCGACCCAATTGCAGACACTTGAGCATACAGAAACCGAGCAGACGGCAGTATCGAACAATGCCTTGGATGAGGCTCAGGAACCTCAACAGATCCCAGACGAGTCCGTTTCCAATACCGACACACAAGAAACGCTCTCGATAGCTCCTGATCGTGAACAACCGAACACCTGCGATGCTTTCGGGCCCAGTCTACACCCAGACGAAACAAAAGACGTCGCGATGGGAGATGCCCCGTCACCAGAACAAAGCCAAGGGCTCAATGCCCAGTCTCTCGCGAACCCAGAAGTACCTGAAGCGCCAGAGACCGAAGAGCATCCACAGTCCAAGCCCACTGCAGCAGAGCCCACTGCAGCCATTACCGCAGACTTCAGTCTATTGAAGAGATCAACGCCTGCCGTAGACGAAGAGTCAGAAACAGCAACCGAAACAAGTGTTCGTGATGAAACTCTTGCCACCAAAGCAGGGCTGCAGGAAGATTCTCGATCTGGCGAAGCTAAGGAAGCCCATGACGAACTTGAGAAACTACCTACGATCCCACAGGCTGGTTCGTCTGAGTCTACATGAGCCACTTGTGAGGGCTTTATTTTCTCCCAGCCAACTAATGTACAATGAATGGCATTGGTTTTGTTTATTGCCTTTTGATGGGATTGTTTATGTTTGTGGATAGGCGTATAGGATCATTGTGCATCATATTGTAGGACCACATAGTTTATTCTTCAATTCAAATCTTTTCTTCGAAGTGACTCCGTTTACTCGTGCTTTTTTCTCTGTTCTTTTGTACAATAGACGCTTATCTTAGGGATGCTGGGTATGAATATACAAACTACAGCATACATATAGAGATGAGAAGAAAGTAGCAAGTATTATTTCTCCATATGGCGAAATTAGCGAAGGAGAATTAGTTACTTCAAAGCAAAGCCAACCCTACAAAAGTTTCTTCGGAAAAGAAAAACTACCAGGCAAGTTGCTGAATATCCTTCGAGATCTGCCATCCATGCGCCAATGCAACTCTTCTGTAGGCGTCTACTGCTTCGCCTACTGAATAGTCGATTTTTGCGCTATGGATATCCAGACGCGCGGGTCTTGGGTCGGTGCTGGTAATAGCCATGCGAACCTGCAACAACAAACTCTCAATTGAAGTCGTTGGTAGCCAGCCCGAGTGTGTCAGCAGTTCCATGCACATAGATCCACCGGCGGTAACGTGGCCGCCGCCTCCAGCGGCGAACTGGAGGAAACGAGGGCGAATGACCCGTACAAGGGGTGGATCCATAGGGAATTGCCGGGGAAAGCGGAGCTCCAAGACGATGCTTTTTTGTTTGGTCTTTTTGAGGTCTTTTGCTAGTGGGAGGGATGGATCAAACGTATGCAGCTCTGCAATCCATTGGTAGACTGTTGTAATCAAGCTGGGGTCGACGTACCATCCGAGCTCATGGAGTGGCACTCGCTCCTGGGTTTTTATGGTAGCCTGAAGATGCTGCTGTAGGATTTTTGTGGCTGAGGTAGTCGCAAATTGGGGTGGAGAGAGTGTAGGCAAAGAAGTATCCTCTAGGGTTCCGGGTCGGAAATCAGTCTTGAGGTCTGTTGCTGGGACAGCTCCTTCTTGCATGCTAGGACCTGGGGGACTTTCACACATCTCATCGTCAGATAAAAGAATGCTGAGATCCTCTGTGGTCGTTTCAACGCTGACATTGTCGTCGTTGTCGTCGTTGTGTTGTTCAGTATCTTGAATTGAATATTTGCGTCTCTTGGGTGACGGCACAAGGTCTGCAAGCCCGGTTTCACTAGCGGCATGAAGGAAGTTTGCCCTTTGGCCGCTAAATACGGAGATGGGAATTTTGATCTGTTTGTTGCTGGGACCGACAGCCGGATAACGTTTATCTTGTTTGTATAAAAGGCTTTCATCATGTTGATACGATGATGGCTGGGCTTTTGAGCTCTTTGACTTACTCCCATGCGCATATCCATCAGTTTTCTTTGCCATACCAGGTACGTTCAAGTCACAGAGCTTGACGAAAAGGTACCTTGGTTGGATCCAATCCAAGTGTTGCACGACGTAGGGACTACGGCACACAAACTGATTGGGAGCATTGACGACCTCATTAAGAGAAATCACCGTCGCGAGCTCCAGCCGACTCGCGGACAACGCGGGAGATGTGGAAAACGTGGGAAGAAGATTCCTACCACAGTATGACAATGAGGTATGGAAGTGGTTCGACATGTAAACACCATGACCACAGGAGCGGCCATGGACAACTTGCTTGAAATGCAACCCCTCACGTAGAATACTGTGCCAATTATGCAAAGCGCTGCCATGCCAAGCGAATATAGTAGGATGCTTTGGATTCTGGGCCAAAGAAGTGGAGTTGACCGCTTGAAGAAAGCGCTGCTCTTTGTCGACAGCACCTTGAACAAGTCTGAATTGCATGTAGTCGCCCATTCCATCTATCTGATGCCGAGGCTCATCGACATCTTGCTTGATGAAAGATCGATTTGAGGCGACAACCCAGCGTAAAAGGTCCAATCCAGCAGGGGATATGACGTCTCTCCAGGTTGAAAGAAGCTTGCCCCTTTTGTCACTCTCAATGAATGTCTTCATTTCCTCGATACTAGGTAGTATGGCCAATAGGCAAGAAATCATCCACTGTTTCTGTGTGGGTGCCAAATCGTCTAGATTGGTGTCATAAACAACAAATCTCACTTGCTGGGGCTCCACCCCTAGCACCTCTCCTGGCTGCACTCGACGGCCTCTACTAATTGGACATGAGATGCGAATATGATTTAACGTCTCGCCAATGTGTTCAACACGACAGTGCCATTCTGCAGGTTTTGGAGTCTTCATAATGAGGACAATCCAATCGCCGACTTTGACCGGAGTCGGCTGATCTAGCCGAATTTCAAGATCGGTTGCATCAAATTGCCCGATATAATTTGTAGAACAATCTGAGTTTTCTTTAGGAAGTAATTTCTCGGGTACGCGTAGCCGAAGACCAGTTGGGAAGTCTTCAAGAAGCCCCGCTGAAGCCCTCGCGTATGCCAGGCTGGTTAGCAAGTCAACGACAAAGGGCTGGGACTGGATCTCATACTCAAGGCTTGCACCCAGTCCCAGCGCCATGTATTGGTAGAGGCATAAATCATTGGAGCAAACATATGGCTTCAGTGATTCGAAGGCATCACCAGTTTTGCAGTGGCAAACTAAGCAAAATTCTGTGCACTTGACAAAATGCCGCAGGGTAAACTGCATGGCAAGAAGAGGAAAAGACATATTAGAGATATTGCGGTCCAGTTCGGTCATATGATCAGCCAAAAGGATTTCTGGCGTCGACGTGGCCCAGCTGTCCGGCTGATAGTCCTCCTCGGAAAAGTTCTCAGAGCTGTAATCCCTGCCTTGGTTGGTCTGGAAGAAAAGTTCTGCCCCTGTCCATGAAAGCCCATGTTTTAGTCGAAGACTGATGATCCCAAGCAGGCGCTCTCTGATAAGTAAATTGAGCGATTTTCCAATGAACAGCGGCCTGAAAAGATGACCACGTATTGTTTTGTCCGAAGTCATACTCTCGTCTTTCGTCCGTTGATCCTGTGACTCCTGTATAACTTCCATAGCGTGCTCTAAGGATGGCTTGTATGAGCTGCAAAGGCCAACATTCATCTGAACCGGTGGGTTTTTCGAATCAATTGCTATCTCGATAATTGTTTGGAGTTCATGGTAAGTCGGTCGATAACGGATCAGCAAAACCAAATACTCCGACGGTTCGACGCCCCAAGAATCCATAGCTTCCTCGGAAATGCCAAGCTTGGAAATGCGGCAAGACACTGACACAATAATATCGCCATGTTTTAACCCCAGGTATCCCACTTTGAATCCCGCGTTCTTGACCACACGAAGGTCACGGCGAATCTTCTCTCGTAACTTCGTCTTACTTTGAGTAGATGTGAATATTCTGGTTTCATCATCAGACTCCCAGCCTGGCTCAGTATCACCGGCAGTCGAGTCGTCGGAGTCGGAGTCACGAGAGCCTAGGTCCTCTAGGTAACTGGATGTCGAATCAGGATCAACCATAGAGTTGGTGATCATTTTCTCAATGTTGCGCAACAATTCATGGATAGTTAAGCCTGTGAATGAAGGCACTGCATTTTCGAGGGAGGAGCTGACTGTCTTTGGACAGTTCTCGGACGATGGGAAGACCAAAAAGCCATGGTCCCTGGGATAATCGTGAGAGTCTGCTTGTGCGTCAGCAAGAGATTAGATCCTTGAAAGATACTATGAGCTAGTAATATTAATTACCGGAAACTATAGCTTGGAGATCAAGGGTGAGGCTTGCCTCGGGTGCTACAAATGTGAAGGAAATTGATCCATCATACTCCCCTGTTCTGATATCGGAGGTACAGGGGAATCGGCCAGGGACCGCTGCATCTGCGAGATCTCGCAGGAATTCTTTGCGTGGCATAGTACGGTTTCACTGCGTTGAAGTTTTGAAAAGAAGGTGGAAAAGAAGAAGTAATGAGACGCGAAAGTCAGTGTCAAGAGTCGGTCAAGGGATCAAGCCTAGAAGTGCTTCATGTATATCAAAGAAATATATCGAGCAAAATAAAGACACGATGAGAAAGGAATGACGAGTACAGAAGAAAAACAAAGAGTAACGGCGTAAGCCATTTGGTGATTTCAACCATGACCAGGTACTTAGGCAGCCTCAGGCCCCGATTAGGAATAGCCCCACTATCTTAATTCTTATCTAATCGGGTCGATCGGTCTTGGCAGGTCCACTCCGGGGCTTCTATACTTCATGCATTACGGAGTAGACAAACTCATACATGCAAACCTACAGACCTAAGCTAGATCCAAGTCTACAGGAAAATAAGAGAGGCACGAAGGAGAAAATCAGAGGTTCGCTTTTGAGGAGGTCTTTGCGAGTATCCTCCAGAGAAAGCGCCATTTTGAATTCTAGTTCGTGAGATAGTCTAGGTGCTCCCCTCATACTCACGGTAAGATGTATAGAAAGGGCTCGCTTAGGGAGTGTTTCTTGCCTCTGATGCTAGAACAATTCAGTCCATGAATATGTGTCAACGAATCAGCAGGCGAAGCATGACTTCTGTCACAAGAATACAGTGCAACAGTGGGCTTGAGATTGAAGACAATGCAAATTCTAGCATTCGAAACTGATTTATATCTGTCAAGGAACTGTTAAACTTCGATTCTATTATTATTATGCCTATTTCAATTCGACCTTTCCAAGCATTGCGTCCGAGTTGCACTACAACATCTACAACGGTCACGTGCATATCAAACAAGACAAACATTCATCACCAATACAAGCAAGGCTTCATCAATCTCCAATCTTTTCAGTAACACAATCATGTTGCCCCCTCGAAGCGCCATCGGTCGAATACCGAGTCATATCCGGCCAACTCATCTGCCTCGGATCTCCGGTCCCAACGTACATCTCCGACCATTCACCCACCGCACACGCCTACTTCTTCTTTCTCCAGCGCCGGGTCGCCCTCAACTACCCTTCCTATCACCTCTTGCGCCGACCCGTCCACTCCCACCGCTATCAATCCACCTCCGCCAGCATTTCGGTCGCTTGATATCTACCGAGAGCCGCGAGCATTACAAGCGAAGGGTATCGCGGGGTGTCAAGATCGGCCTGTCAGTGTCGGCCATCCTTGTCTTGTTCTCTGCGATACAGCTCGGCATCTACCAAGAAAACATTGAGCATTCATGGCCCACTCCAACGGAGTGGTCCTGGAAAAGCCGCTGGTGTCTGCGATCTGCGCAGGCACTGCAGAATCCTGAGCAGATCGGCAAGCTGATGACGAATTGGCCTATGGTCGCTGGGTATCTTCGCGAGCTGCTCGAGCGTCTGGAGAACCTAGAGGGTGAGGGCAAAGGCCTCATAGAACAGGGTGAGGGTGGATTCCTGGTCGAAGGCGTCGGCCACACTGGGTTCGATGTCTCCGCAAAGAGTGAGCCTTGGCGCCGTGGATATTTCCAGGCCCTGATGGGTGCTGCCAAGGCTGCTGAGAACCTAGATGGCTGGTTGACAGATCGCAAGCAGAAGATATCTGCGCCTGCGGAATATGTTGTTGGACCCTCGAATCCTCGACCAAAACCCATGCCCGCTGGCCAGAAGAAGGTCCCACGGGAAGAGGATTGTGAGGAAGCGTCTCCGTCTCCGGAGCGCTTCTACATGAAGATCTTGACAACAAAGGGCTTTGACACAAGGCAGAAACTTGATGCTGCCTTGGCTTATGCTGATTGGCTTGATTTCAAAGGCTTGGGCCTTACGGCGGGTGACATGTATAAGTGGGCCTTGGACATTGCTGCTGGTGGGTTGAAAGGAGATGCTAGCAAAATTGTGGATTTGAAGAGCGGCCTGTTGAAGAATAATAGTGGAGAGCTACCTTCAGAGAATATTCTCCGTGTCTCCACGGCCCTCGCCGTCCACAACGCTCGTCAAGCCAATCTTCCCACAGCGTTATCCCTTTTCACCTCTGTTCTCAAAGCCCGACGCAGCCTCCCTTTATCATCGGACTATGATAGATCTCCGTCCTTTCCAACTCTGCCTAAATCCAACAACGACCCATTCTCTTCTCTCTTCAAATCGCTTAAAAATGTCCTCATTCCCGTGAAGTACCCAGACCCTCTCCCATCAGGCGACGAACCCCCACGTCGCACCACGGCATCAGCCTGCGAAGAAGCAGGATTAATGACCTACATCGGCGAGATCCTGTACGCCTCCTCGTCGAAGGATTCCGGTCTTGCCTGGACGCGCGATGCAGTCGACATGGCCGAGTCCACGATGCTCCAACTCAGCAATTCAGCCGACCGCACTGCTCGAACTCGCTGCGCACAGTGTCTGAAAGTTGGGCTGGAGAATTGGAAAATCATGGTCTCTACCCTTGTTACCCGTGCTCGACAAGAAGAGCAGAAGAGCAGGGATCAGGCTAAGGGTGCTTGGTTTGGCGGCGAACGCCGCGTAGAAGCGAAGCAGCTCGATCGTCGACGTTGGGAGGCTGAAGATGCTATTCTAGAGGATCGGATTCGTCGTCTCTTCCCTCTCCTCGAGGGCGAGTCCGGGCTGGATCTCCTCGCTCCAAATAGCTCTTTGTTTGTGTAGTGTTATTATCTACTTGTATACCTGGACATTTTTGGTGGAGTTGAGGTGACTTTTGAATATGTACAACATACAGATTATGTTCGCCATGGCGGTCAATTTTGTTATCCAATCAGATTTCCCGTATATCAAACCCCGTCGAGCTTTGTAGACCTCTGTACTCCGTACAGTCCAGCGAAGTAAGCAAATCGACGAGGATTGGCAATATCCTATGTTACAAGTGTCTATCATTGAGGGTTGACTAAATCGAATAATGTAGTGTATGTCACAAAGAAACAATATATTTTTCTAAGCGCGAAGACGTTCTTGCTACCTTCAAGAGTTCGCACCACAGTTTCTTTGTGGCCTGAGTTCTATCTCATTGTGTTATTTGCGTCAACCTCATCGTTGAAGTTATATATATATAACCCGGGACTTCTAATGAGTCAAGAAACCAACAATCCGAGCTTCATGCGCTTTGAGGGAGTATTCTTGTATGAAAATGAAGCAAATGGGAAGAAATATTTCTTATATTTGAAACATATCATTGTAGACCTATTGAGAGACGTGTCTTGGTCAAATAGTCTAGTCACAGTCTCTACATAGCGGTATTGGGGATTACGATCAGCCGATGCAAATTGGAAGCATAGGCTTTGAGACAAATAGATATATGATCCAAAAAGAGACAAAAGAAATAGCAGCAAGAATGAATGTTGACTAGTACATAGTAAGCTTCGCCTCACTCTGTCAACTGGACCTTGAGCTCCCCAAGCATTTGACTGTGTTTCCACATGGGAACGACAGTGTGGTATATGTACATGGAAGAGCCAACCCTGACACACACTCAATGATTTCCTGGCGGATTCGAAGGGGAGTCTCGAGTATATGGAAAGATTGCGAGCGGCCTAATTTAGGTGGCCTTGTCCTTGTTGTGGTAGTTCACATCGGAGTTCCAGCTGTAGATGAGTTAGTCCTGGGGTTTCAGGGGGTGATGTGGAATGTCATGCGATCCGGTTGAGAAAGCAGATCATCAGATGTAAGATTGCAGAAGCTGCTGTTCCGCAGAACAATGTATAGTATGTGGTGGGGTGGAAAGTCGGAACTCACAAGATGGTCTATTCCGGACATAGATTAGCTCGAGTCTTCAGCACACAGCATAATTGGATCCACATACCTTATCACCGTCTCCCCAAGGGAAGTTCTTCGTGCGGATGTTCTGGTAAGGGTACTCGGTGCGCTCCTCGAGCGGGGGCATGTGCGACCAGTGCTCCCAGTGCTCATTCCAGAGGTTGTAGGCGTTGAGACCACCACCAATCAGGCAGGGAATCACGGCACTATGAAGTAATTAAGTTTTAGGTAAGAGTGTCAAACCAAGGAGTGGATTGAAACGTACAAGACGGACAGCTTGAGCCAGAGGCCTGTGGAATAATCGGGTCAGTAATGGATATTATCTACGGCCAATGACCATGCTGCACAATCAATTGAGTTAATTGTAGGGTACATACTGCTGGTAGAGGCAGCATGGTGCTTGACGGCAGCTCTCTCGCGGTTGAATTCGTTGTCGACGATCCAAGAAGGCTTCGCTTCGGCGCTGTTGAAACGGCGCTGGATGGTGGAGCGGACCGGAGCGGAACGCATCTGCTGCGAAGCACGCTGGGAAAGGCGACCGATATTGCGTTGAGGGAACATGGTGGGTGATGCTAAGGAGATCTCTTAGTGGTGAAGGTCAAAAGTGGTGCGATGAGGTCTGAAGCCGTCTTTAGCGTATCCCCGTGATCTCCCGGATTATGTAACCTGATGTCATGAGGCCTTATATATCAGGCAGACACAAGGCTACTAGAATCACGTGATGGTTTTGAATATGTATGAACGTCGGGATGCAGGTCCCGCAACCAATTAACTAGATTGAATAAGTAAGGGTGGCTCTAATCCTTGGCTGACTCGATCTTTTATATTGTATTTCGACCTGTCTTGATCATTTGCATCGCAAGAAATGCCGCGTTGTCCCCGGATACACTAGCGCGTCCAACATGGGAGTTCGCATAACCACGTGGAATGGTAAGTCCTATCTGAATCATCGGGAGCTCTGAGTAGTGAATATATACCAACGGCGCATAACCTTTTAGTCAATGGTATACGGTATGAAAGAAACCTGCTAGTTGAACCGGTTCAACACTAATATAACAAAAGAAACCCGTTCTCCTATGAGCCATGGAGAGGAACGCGCACATTTGAGGTAAGTGTATATCCTTCTATTTCACAGTAGCCGAGCTTATCTAGTCTAAAGTCTATGTTTGATATACTGGAGGCGGATATTGTAATTCTCCAAGAAACCAAGATTCAGCGCAAAGACCTCCGCGATGACATGGTCTTGGTTCCAGGATGGGATTGTTATTTCAGTCTCCCTCGAGTCAAAAAAGGCAAGCTAATGCTCCATTGCTATATATACAGAAGATTAACAGCTTTTAGGATACTCGGGTGTTGTGATCTACACGCGCAATGCCACTTGTTCTCCAATAAGGGCAGAAGAGGGCATTACTGGGGTTCTCTGCCCACCAAAATCCTCAACATCTTTCTGCAGTCTTCCAGAAGAGCAGCAGATTGGTGGATATCCAACGTTAGATCAGCTTTCCAGGCCCGCAATGAATCTCGAGGGGCCTGACTCGGAAGAGGAGCAAGAGTATGTTAGCTCGGTGCCCAATACCACAATAGATGCACCAAACCTCGACTCCGAAGGGCGTTGCGTCATTCTGGAGTTTCCTGCATTTGTCCTTATTGGTGTCTATTGCCCTGCCTATCGGGATGAGAATCGAGATACCTTTCGCATGGACTTTCTCAATGTCCTAGATTCTCGAATCCGAAACCTGATTGCTATGGGGAAGAATGTGGTCGTGGCTGGGGACATCAATATTTCGAAGCAGGGCATTGATGCTGCTCATGGAATTGAGGCCATACGAAAAGGTACAATGACCGAGGAAGAATTTATATCTGCGCCTTCTCGACGCCTGTTTAACCACTTGATATCGGATGGCGTTGTTATTGGTGAACGTGACAAAGGCAGAGAAGATCCTGTTCTCTTCGATGTCTGCAGGTCATTCCATCCAGGTCGTGCAGGCATGTATACATGCTGGGACCAGAAACTCAATGCTCGACCAGGGAATTACGGCTCAAGGATTGATTATGTGTTGTGCAGCCTTGGTATGCGGAGCTGGTTCTCCGACTCAAACATTCAAGAGGGACTGATGGTATAGACTTCTCGCATTTATGATGTGAATCATTGACTGACTGATTTCTAGGGATCAGACCATTGTCCTGTGTATGCTGTTATCAAGGAGTCTGTGAACCAGCCCAAAGGCGAAGTAAACGTTCGGGATATTCTCAACCCGCCAGGAATGTTTCACTGTGGCAGGCGTCAACAGGAATACTCAAACGAGTGCGCATTGCCCGCTTCGGGGCGTTTGCTCCCCGAATTTGACGTTGATAAGCGCAGAAGCATCAAGGACATGTTCTCTCGAAAACCAACCAGCGTTCCGTCGAGGGCGGTAGACCTAGCCAACACACCGGCTAACATTCCCACGACTCGAGTCACAGAATCTACAGACATGCACGCAGCCTTCGGATCCACTGACTCGGCCAAAAAGATCCCTGCGCCTATCACTGCGAGAAATCAACTTCCTCAGACTGTTTCTCGCAAACGCTCGCAGCCTCTACCTACCACATCCGCGAAACGCACCAAATCCGCCGTATCGACGTCTTCTGGGGGCTCTGCGGCAGGCCAGAAAATGTTAACAGGCTTCTTCAAGCCAAGGGCTGTTATATCTGAAACCACCCAGTCACCTATTCCTTTATCAGGATCCTCGACACCATCACTCAATCCCGAACCATCAGGACAGTCACAAGAGAAGGGGAAATATCCAGAGATCAGCCTGCAGTCTCCGGGGTTACAAGAAGAAAGCATAAGAGAGGAAGCTGATATTTCTACCGAAGGGCCAACGGCCAGGAAGTTCATTGACGACACAATAATTGACCCGATTGTCAGCAAGGAGGATTGGTCAAAACTTTTTACCAAGAAACCTGTTCCACCATGCGATGGGCACCAAGAGCCATGTATTAGATTGACCACGAAGAAACCCGGGATGAATCGCGGCCGCTCCTTTTGGATCTGTCCTCGACCATTGGGACCCAGCGGAGAAAAGGAGAAGGGTACGCAATGGCGTTGTCCCACTTTCATCTGGGCCAGTGACTGGAACTCGCCGGTTGCGACGCAAGAGCAATAACATACATGTCCCAGGAAGGCAGATATCCCTTGATAGCCAACAGAGTTACTGGAAATTCTACACCCGAGTATCGATATTCATACGTTGTAAATCTAGCGAGGTTGAGCCCCGGACAATCCAAAAATTAGGCGTACGCATGCATAACTCATGAAGACTGCTTCTGATGTCCTGTTGTCCTAGCAATAATCAACGAGTAGGGCACTTTGCATGCTATTCAAAAGGATGTCACGTACATGCCAGCATGTAGCGGGCAATCCATAGCGCAAACTTCATTGAAGTCTCCCAGGTCTCCAGCCATTTTCCCTAGTTCCATTTGTGGACTAGTAGCTGCCAGTTTCTTTGTTCTATTGTCTTCTTTGTTTACCTGGGCTTTATTTGTTTAATTTATTGTATTTATCGAGTTGATGTGCCGATTTGGCATTTTTCTTTTTTTCGATTTAATTTCGTTGTTTGATTATTTATTATTTTATTATTTATTTATTATTTCAATTAATTAATCATTTTATTAATTATTATTTCATGAGTCACTTCGTTTGCCCGTTGCCATGGGAATTCGAGTCACGATACATTTGAGTCGGAACTTCGACAACTGACTCACTCCCATATTACTCATAGTTTGAATCATTATTTCACAATGACCGAGATTATGCAATTAGAAACAGACTTCGTAGTTCAAAGCTATGTATTTTGTGCAAAGTTTGGTATATTTTTTAAAGTTACATGTGGCAGCGGGATACAGCGGGAGCTAGTCCCCGGATCTGCAGTGGCACGCGCCATATGCACATCAACCGTAGCACAGACAGAGCTAGTATAGATCGAACTACATAGTATATCTTCATGAACTATTAGGATATACTATTCATTGTAATTATTAGGTAGAGCAGCATATCAAACACGTAATGTGCGGTTACAATCCGAATGGACAGTCCAAGCATCTAAATAGACAAAATAGTATACGACCTGTTTGTCGCACTAGTACTTGATGGCAAGGTCACTTGTAGCATAGTCATATCCCTCCAGAGTTGACTTTCTTTGTTCTACTGCTACTATTCCTAATGGGGAAGTCTTCTCTGAGGATGAGACCTTGTGATTGGTGTCGCTGGGCAAACAAAGAAACACGTCTCTCACCCCGCCAAACAAAGAAACCACCCAACTCGGCACCTACCTTGTTCTGCGCTCCCAGCCCCTCCGGGACTATATTTGTTTACCTCGCGCCTTGTTTCTTCTTCTTCCTCTTCCCTCTCCTCTCTCCATCCCGTTCTCTTTTCCCTTTCACCCCACACCCTGTCTCATCACTCTGAACCCTTACTGCATTGTTCAACATGTCTACTCCTGATGTTTCGGTCCCTCTGGGATACGGACCTGCTCATCTTGAGATGCTTTTGTTTCGATACGTCGAGACCTTGTCCCTCCGACACGCCCTTAGGGTGTTGGAACGTTGGCCTGAAAATTCTCCTGTGGGACAGTATGCAGCTAAAGTTCTACGTGAGCTTCCTGCGAATTACTTTCAGCAGCCAAGACTTCTACCCACTGGGCCACGTTTTGTCTATGTGAATGGCGTGCTAGAACTGAAACGTATCGATCAAGCCTTGCCTATGGACCAACTCCACCCTGACTCAACCACCGGATGTGTTGGCGCTGTGATTGGGAATGTACTCTCGTCTCCCTTGGAGCAGCGACGCCTTCGACCCCTCAACAGCTTCATGATTTTCAGAAGTAAGTAGGATCTTCATGATCGTTGATTCATTTCTAACAGTATTTTAGGCTTTTGTGCTCCCATGTTCCCTGGGATCCCACAGAAAGTAAAGTCGATGGCCATCAGTGAAATGTGGCAAGACGACACTTTGAAGTCCCACTGGGCTGTCCTCGCCAAGGCCTATACGGTTATCCGTGATCATTTCCATGTCGACACCCCCTCACTGTCTGCATTTGTTGACCTTTGCCTGCCTTTGATGGGTTTCCTGTCCCGTCAGCAGTACCTCACCCTGTCTGGTTGGATTGTCCAGCCCAGTGGCACTAGCCTCAGCCTGCGCAAGATCGGTACCTCACGCCTGGATACTCTACACCCTCCCATCATTGCTGTTGACCAAGTCGTCAAGCACTGCACCGCCAACAACTACGCCCAGAAACGCGATGAAGAGTGGCACAAGCACATTCTCGAGAACGGAGCCGTGTTTGCCGTGGACCCTTCTTTTTCAGCTACCATCCCGGAACCTCAGAACTGGGTGTTCAACGACGTTCCTCAATGGCCAATTGAAGAATTTGAAGTTGACGAGATGTACTCCACCCTTGATACCGAGCGCGACCTGGGCCTTCCTGTCATCTATGATCCCAACAAGCCCCCCGGTTTCGCTGACACTGCGGCAACCCTTGGTCGAATCTTCGGGAATAACTAGAGCTGTCAAGTGTCAGCTCATTCCCGCCGTGCTCTAAATGGTACATTCTCACTACGACACGGTTCGGCAATGTTGATAATCATGATCAACAATTGTCTCTTTCACTTCCCGGTGACTACCCAGTCACTTCTGGCTTCTGAGATTACTCGGATAGATCTCAGTTATCAGACTTTCTCTTCGGTTTCCGCAACAACTCAGAAAAAAAAAAAAAAAAAAAAAAAAAAAAAAAAAAAAAAAAAAAAAAAAAAAAAAAAAACAAAAGAAAAAAAACCAAAAACCAAAAAAAATGTTGAAAAACAGAAAACCCTCCCAAAAAATGTCCATTCATGTACGATATCTTTCTCCTGTTTTGGCTCACGACAAGTTTTCAGGAGGGGAGTCGACTGGGTTTCTTTCCCACGGGGTTTTCCTGGTCGCTCTCCTCCTGCCGAGTGAGCATTGTTCTGTACCTAACTTGAAATCAATTAGTGATTTTCTCAAGCTTCTTTCTCTCTTGTAGCACGTATATTCTCAGATGAATATGTAGAAACGCATCTAGGACACGATCGCAACCTCTTGGTATCACAGGTTCTCAGTGACATACTTCGACAACCAACCATTCCCAAATCCTATGTTTACCAAAATTACGAACCAGACACCCTCAGTTTCTCACTCAGAATGCCACTGGGCCTATTTCACATTGATCTCACAGCTCGACTACACAGCGACGCCCAGAGCCTCGAGTCTCTGTCTTTGTGCATGAGGTGACGTCTCGATACTCTTTGTTCACAGCCGCCGCTAAGTCGGCGCCACCCGCGGATCGGCATGCACTACATCCATGGTTCCACCAGTCGGGTATGGACCGAGGGAGACAACGCTTGGCATGCCGCGTCGAGCAAGGGACATCCATGTCCGGCCATGCGACCGTGCGACCGTGCGCTCTACAGGGGTATCTATATCTACCGGCGCTAGGACATGGACATGGACGCAGGGGAGTGGATCTACACATATACAACAAACGCACTACAATGATTCAGGGAACTGGGTAAGTTGCTTGTATTCGCTATGGGAAATCAAAACAAGAGACTAACTACGGGATTAGGGAGAAGAGCCCAGACCGAAAAACGCAAAGTGCGAGACGGACGAAGCAAAACTCCTCAAAATTGGGATGTGGAATATACACAGACAGCCAAGAGCGAAAGACAGATGCGACGATTTCCCTAATCTTCCTGGTATGAGATCTTGCGCATTTCGCCCAGACGCTGGCGGGCGCGAGCGAGACCGTTCTCGAGTTGGAGGATTTCGACCTGTTGGGAGGAGACATATTAGCATTGCATGGATGGGATATAAGGGGGAAGGGGACGTCACATACCTGCTGCTCCATCTCGCGGACCTTGAACTCGTGCGAGCTCAACTTTCCATAATCCTCTCCGTCATCGCCGTCGCGATTCTTCTCCTTAATGATGTCCTGCACTTGTCGCACGAGGGCACGGCAAGCAGCACCCACTGCCTTGCTGGCGGTCTCCAGGCGGTCCTGGGTCTTGCTCATGAATGTTGCCTTGACGCGACTGGCTGCGACAAGCTGGGCAGTGCTGGCTGCAACATCGTTGGAGGCGACAATAAGTTGCTCTGGCGAGTTACGGCCCGAGATCACACCGTCCGCAGTCTCGATCAATGTGTTGGTCGAAGAAGCCACTGCTTTGGCGGCAGAGATCAAGCCCTCCGTCCAACGGTTGTTCTTCTTGTAGAAGGCAGTGCGAGACGAGCTACCACGGCCTTCGCGAACAATCTCTTGCTGGGTCTCTGTAGCGGCCTTGATCAGCTCCGAGATCGCGTTGGTGACGGCAATAGCGGCGGCAAGGATGACATCGTTGATGCGCAGCTCGTAAGTCGAGAACCCGTCACGGGGCTTGTTCTTGAGCTTGGCCAGACGCTGGGCAGCTGCGTCAATGGCATCGGCGGCCTTGAGCAGCTCCTGGTCGACAAGATCACCCAAATCACCACTGGTGCTGATCTTGGTATTCTTGGGAGCGAACGATTCAACAAGCTTCGACAGCGCCTGCAAGTCACGCTGGACTTCGAGGTTGTTGTTGATGACAACATCAGTCTTTTGCAGTGGTTCCAGACCTTCGAGACGGAACGACTGCAAGCTACGGAAGAACCGAACGGTCGCTTGAGCAGACTTGCGTGCAGCATTAACCAGGTGATCGGAGCTCTTGTCATCGGTAGCGAAGCGGATGAGGCCCTTGGTGTTGCTCAACACATCCGAGACAGATCCAGAGAAGATGGACACTGTGCGGATAATCTCGGCATGAGGACTATTGGGGCCATCGGCAACAAAGTTGTTGAAAGCTGTTGAGAACTCAGTGGCGGAAGCTGACGCCTTTTCAATCTGCGAAAGGACATATGGAGGAGAGGCATTTTGGTTACCGGCCTGCATGGACGAGTCCAATTCATACAGAGCATCATCGACACGCTGCACACCAGTCTGCAGCACGGAGTCGATAATATCGTTAATCTTCGCGACTGTACCGTGAAGCACAGTGTCAATCTGGCTGTCCAGCGCATGGTCGACATCGCCTTGGCTCTATAGTTGACTGTGGTCAGTATGCAGGCATTCAATATCGTCAAGATCATCACTAACCAGTCTAAGCTCCTCCAGTTCCATAAGAGCCTGTTCCATACCAGACTTGTACACCTCAATCTCCTCGTCCTTCTCACGAAGAGACAGGTCAAGATCTTCCTGGCGGTCATTGTTGCGACTGGAATGTTCGTCCAATGCGCGCGTTTTAATCTATAAGGTCAGCATAAATCACACATCTCAGCAAGATGGACAGTTACTCACTCGGAGGGACTCTTCCAAATCAGCCATCTCCCGGTTATACTTGGACAGCAAAGACGAGATCTCGGTTCCCTTTGAGCGTTCTGCATTTTCAGCACGCTCAAGAGCCATACGAAGCTCACGCTTGACCTTCTCCAAGTCATCCTTGTTGGTTCCGGTCAGACGGTCACGGTCGTGCAGAGCACGATCACGTTCCCGAATCATGTCAGCAAGCTCCAAGTTCTTAGTCTTCAGCTCGCGCTCCAGCTTCTCTCGTCGCTCGATTGCTTCTTGTGCGGAGGCTGCCTTGAGCTTGAGGCTCTTTGTGGTCTGCAGAAGATCTAGGTGCTCTTGTCGAAGCTGTGAGTACAGTTTGGCCAATGCCTCGTATTTGGATCTCCAGGTGTTCACCTGCTCTTGCAGGGATCGAATCTGATCGTCCTTCGAGGCATTCTGCAAGTTCAGGTTCGAGGTCAAGTGGTTCATCTGCTCCTCAACCTCTTTGACACGGCGGTCATATTGCTGCAGCATCAGCTGGTCGCGCTCATACTGTGCACGGGCGTTGAGATTCTCCTGCTCCAGCTCTGCCAGCCGACCTTGGGTTTGGGTCTGGTACTGGTCGCGGAGAAGCTGTTCCTGTGCCAATCGCTGCTGTTCCGCCTGCAGGCGCTGCTGCTCCTCGAAATCGTTCTGGGCTTGCTGTTGGGCAAGGAGTTGCTGGCGTTGCTGGTCCTCCCACTGTTGCTGCAAGCGTTGTTGTTCCGCCTCGTACTCTTCTTGCTGGCGTTTAGCTTCGTTTGTCCAGAAATCATTGATCGGCTCCGGCTCAGCAGCGACCTTCGGTGGAGGCGAGGGCTGGTGTTCCACTTCTTTCGTCGGTCGTCTGGGAAGAGCTGGGCGATCGTCATCCTCGGAAAGCAAATTTGGTGGATCTTGTGGCAACTTCGGGATGGTGATGAGGCCTGTTAGGTAGCGCAGGTTGGAACACTCATAGTAGAACCGAACAAGGCGGTGATGCTGGGCATCATATCGACCTCGGAGTGGCTCGAGAGCTTCATCCTCTCCGGTGGCTACAGGAGACATCAGTCAGCGGCTATTTAACGCAGATTCAAGGACCAAAGGCCACATACTTGTGTGCATGGCTCGCAGCATGCTGGTGATGAACTTGTAGATGCCATAACTCTCCTGCACAAGTGGCACCAATGCCGAGATTCGACATTCGTTGTTCGTGCCGGACTGGAAGTTCGAGAAGATGAGCTTTTGGAAGGAATCAATTTGATCTTGCAAAGACATCAAATCGGTGATGGTCTCGTAGCTTTGTGACTGTCAACACGTTTCTCCATTGTCGCAAAAACCAGGTATTTACGTACCCTTCGTTCGGATCATTGATCAATTTCAGACTAATGTACTCCTCATATTCAAACAAGCCTGCGACTGTCAGACCCCCGCACTTGACAGAACTCATATACCATGGACAACATACCGTTGAATTCGGGGTGATTGCGATGGAAGTTCAGTTTCGCCTCGAGGAAGAAGACATACTCTCGAATGAGCGGCGCATATCCTATCCATAACTGTTATTATACCGTCCGTTGCATGCGTCGCTACTCCTCGGGCAGAGAGCAATTGCGCAGTCGTCCTGCGTGGAATCCATACCTCGAACGCCGTCGCCTCCGACTCCTCGCATCAAACTATCAATCCAGTTGGTATGTTGCTGCGCCTCACGGATAACCATGGGGTGGCCCTCCTGGAGAACCTTGTGTATTGTGATCAGGGCCTTGAACGTCTGGACCTCGTCGGCGAGGACGGGCTGCCTATGAAGAACGAAGCCGTGTCAGCCATATCGAGAACAATACCCCTGACCACGTCGTTCAGGTATTCCAAAACTTACACTTTCATGCCAGCCCAGAAAGCCGCCGATGACTTGTGGTCCCACGTATAGACGATGCAGCTTCGCACATGTTTCCCTACAGGCGCGGGGGGTGGTCAGTTCGATTCGGACGGGGCAAAGCCGAGGCGGCATCAATCGTTTCGATGGAGGGAATGGTAATATTGTCAGAACATACGTTTGGGAGCGGTTTCCTCTGTTGGTTGTCAAAATGTCAGTCATCATGTCCTGTCTCCCGTGTCGGTCTCATCCCCGATTGACGACTTACCGATACTGGTGGCCTTGCGGATATTGATGGCCAAATCGGCCTCGGTCCTGCGCAATCCTTTATCAGACAAACACTCTCAAAGTCCCATGTCGGTCTTGCTTACCGACTCATCGTGGCCGTTGGGGTGTGTGCTCAGGGGGGAGGAGGGTGTATGAAGGTCGGGAAGGTTTGTCGCGTTGACAAGATCTTGAGGCCGGACAGCGCACAGACGCTAAGAATAGGTTGCGCTGACCGGAATAAGCGGATATTTCGAATCGCAAAGCAAAGGCGAAAAAGACACACGTGGGAGTCCGGACAATGACGTTGATGGGGAACGGGAAAGTTGGCGCCTGTCGGGAGTCTTGGCGACGCCTAAGCCGATGCGGGTTTGGGCCGCGGCTTGGATTTTAAGGCTTCATCCCTGACGAAAGCTGTCTCGGTCTACGCCTCAAATACACACTCCAGGCTAGGCAGAAGGAATACATGGGCTATTCATCATGGCCGATCTCTACGGTGTGCTTGGTCTACTTCGTTCGAAACGACTTAAGATCGGCATGGATATATGGAATATCGGAGGATTAGCTACATACATAAAGAAGCCACATAAAGGACTTGGGATACACTGTGCGAGAGAGCGATCACATGCGGGGATAACCAGCCCGATATGGAGACTGCTATCCAGCACAGCAATATGGCCAAGCAGTCGAAAAAAAAGTACAAAGGGCCTCGCCATCCAATTCGATGGTCGTATGATCTATCTATACCAAGGGTCCTTGGTCCTCGGTCCTTCCCCTCTTTCGTGTCTGGGCGAAGGCAACGAGCATTATGGTGAGGGTGTTTCTACTCTTTCAGTAGACGCCAGGGTTTCATGACTGCCTGGAGTTGAAGAGGGCACCTGTTCAACAGAGCACGGCGATTCAACAGCAGGCAACTCTCCTTGCTCCTCCAACCGTCCTTGCCCTTCATGATTCACCTCGAGCTGCTCGGCCTTTGGTGGTGTCTCACTCTCAACAGGAGTCGGGGCTATTAGACTGGAGTCTGACTCCGGGTCCCCAGGGGCCGGGCTATTTGGCTCGGACTCTTGGGGAGCTTCCACCACGAGAAGTTCGTCAGTACCTTGGTTAACACGCACTTCAGGGGGCATTGGTTTCCTGCGTGGTAAAGTTGATGGTGGGGAGTGTTGGTCTCGTTCAGGCACTGTGTGTGCTGCTACAGGTTTACGCTTGGGCAATTTTCCTGAGTTCCTCTTCAGGGCATATTTGTCTGGGCGCGGCAATGGTGTTCCAAGTGGTGGATGAGGATGGCCACGCCCAATCGGTTGGGTAAGCGTGCCTGGAGGAGTCCGCGACGATTCTTGACCGTGATTTTGGTCACCTTTACCAAACACGCTCCAACTCCATTTCTTGGCAGCGGCGGTGGCTTGCCCGAGAGTCATCGGACCCGAAGGCTTATCGTCGGAAGATGTAAAGGTTTTGGTGATAGTTTCAATTGTGCTGCGTCTTGGGGCCGTATCGCTGACAAGGGACGTGGTGGAACTACCCCGAGAGTTTCTCGAGCTGGGGAAGCCCCCGCTCTCCATGCGAGTAGAAGAAGGTCTTTGAATAAAACTCTCATGTGGAAAACGAACGCTGTCAATAGAATCTGCAATCGATGACCCGCGGCTATGGAGCGCATTTTCTGGTATCATAAGGCCACCTGTAGGTGGCGAGGTGCCCGGGGTTTGGTTCGGGGATGTAGGTGGGGACCGGCTTGATATCTCTATCATGGCGCTTGTTGCATGACTCTTTTCTTCGCCTTTGCTCTCCGAAACAAGCTTGTCAACCTTGGCATTGTCCGCTGTGACTACGGGATCTGCAGCGTGGGAAAAAGTCTGTGACCGAATAGCTCGAGGCAGCGGTGTGCTGCCCGGTCTCTCAACGCCAGTTGAACTTGCAGTTGCAGTGGAATCGTTCGATTGCAGATCCGATAGGGAAGATTTCACGCCTTTGCGCAGCTTCTTCTTGACCGTTCCGGAATCAGAAAGGACAGGCATGCTCATCGTGCGATCGTCCTTGACCCTGAGGGCTTCAATGGGATTACTGTCAACGCTCTTTGGGGTCGAGGGAGCTACGCCAGATTCATCTGGTATCTCTGGTATCTCTACCTGAGCACTCGACTCGGGAGTGTCTCGCTGCCAGACACCACCGCGGAAAGCCTGGCCGAGCGTATTATGGAAGGGAACGTCGTCCCAGAAAGGCAGAACGATGCTCTCTGCCACTGCTTCGCGGATCTTACTCTCGATCGTGCGAAGGATGAGGCTGTATGTGATTTGTTTGGAGCTGACAATGGGTTGGATGTCCATTTCCATCTTCGGCATCGTTTCGAAAGACATCCAGATGCGATTGCTAGGTGGGGGCTTGAAGCGTACCAACAAATGGCCTTCAAGTTTCTTCAACACAACGGCAAGGACAATATCGACCTCTCTGGCCTTGAATCGAGTGCCTAAGTCAATACGCACCGTCGCCGAGATCTCGACCCGGAAGTTTCCTGTGTATTGCATATCGGCTTCCACGCAGCAATTGCCGTCCACAGTCAAGTCCTTGAGTCTTGGGTTGGTGATAAATGGAGCCCCTTCACCCATATCAATTCTCTGTAAGCCGATCTTGCTGATAAAGTTAGGTTTGTTGGCGCGAGAGATCTTCTTGACGATCTTGCTCCGCACGAAAGCCTCATACTCAGGTGTCCGGTACATCGCTAAAAACCACCTTCCAAGGAAAGCATTGATCCAACGCGTCTGCAACTGCTCTTCGGATGAATGCAGACGCTGAACCAAGGTGACAATATGTTTGGTATCAAACTCCTGGGGCTTGGGCGGGCGATCAGGCGAGTCCCACAGCCGGTTTTGATTCTGCAGCATGGCGATATAGAAATCCTCCTTCTCAGACAAATTTTCAGAGAAGAGGTAAAACGGCGGAGTCGGTCCTCCTAGATCCCCAAGCGAGCCCAGTCGCCGTGAGAGGCAGATGGCGTTTCTTTTGAGCCACAGCTCTCCTTCTGGGATATCCCCTTCTCCGCCATATATGGTCACATCGTGGTGAGCAAGCGAAATGACATACCGCACCTCGACCTGATTCACGTCATCATAAAGCATCAAGTGGCCATGTCTGAGCACATATCATCCATCGTCAGCAATTAGCGCTTAAATAGCAGCCTATACATCCAGACAAAGAGATGCATACCGGAGAACAATGTAAAAGACATTTCGCGCCCGTTTCGTGGTCTTTCCATTCGCCTTCGCCGGATCGATGCTGGGTGCCTGCTTTCGATCGAACAGACTCCGGTACATGGTCTGATACACGCTAGGACTTTCGGCCGCGACGACTTCTCCCGCGGGTGTCGTTCTCTCCGGGGGTTTCCCATTGACACCACCGGGTACATATTCACGACAGACGGCAAAGTATCCGGCAGCGACATCGGACTCGTGCGTGCGATGGAATTTCTCCGCCAGCTGGTCTGTGCCGGACATGAGACTAAAGTCGTCATCGGTGGGTTGGCGGACCGGATCGGGCGCTTTCTCGCATGGTTGCGGCGGTTGCGGTGCCGGTGGGAGGGTCAGATAGGCGTAGAGGAGAAAAAAGGACAAGACTAGTGGAATGAAAGTAATTCCACCGAGGGCGTAAACGAAGAGGAAGCTAGCGAGCGAACCCATCGGGAACCAGTCGATCAATGCGGGCGGATCGAAAGCTCCATAGTTTGGGAGAGCGACCTCCAACAGCTTAGAAAGAACACGGCAAACAGGAAGAGACCGGCTCCGGAATAAAACGAGCGATGGGGGACAAAGAATTATCAGGCACAAGTGAGTGAGTTGAAGGGAGTTGGTAGCTTCCAAAGTCATGACGGGATGACGAAGGTCAACTGTGTTGAGACATCGGTATTTGTGTTTTGTATCTGTATTACTAGTAAAGTACTTGCTTTAGTAGATGTAATTCTGTAACGTAATCGGTAAGCGAGTGGCCACTGTAAGCGAGTGGCCACCCTACCCAAAAACGCGTCCATGAATTAGCACTTACTTAGTTCAACCACCCACCATGCCACCAATTCGCTCTCAATCCTCTAAAGATTCAATAGAGCAGGAGGGTAGGATCTTACTAGCTATCCAGGCTTTTAAGAAACAAGAATTTACCAATATTTCTATTGCCGCCCGTACCTTTAACGTCCCGCGTTCAACCCTTCGGCGCCGCCTCGATGGAATACAATGCCGCGCGACTTCTTGCGCCAACTCGACTAAATTGACTATAATTGAAGAGGAATCTCTTCAAAAATGGATTCTCTCTATGGATTCTTGTGGATCAGCTCCCCGGCCCTCTATGGTATAAGAAATGGCGAATCTTCTTCTTGAAAAGCGCGGAACTACCCCAGTCATTTTGGTTGGCGAAAAATGGGTTTACAATTTCATAAAACGACGCCCTCTTCTTTCCTCTCGGTTCTTAAGATATTATAATTATAAGCGCGCGAAGTGTAAAGACCTAAAAATCATTGGAGAATGGTTTAATCTTATTTAAAAAACTATCATTTAATTTAGGATTGACCTAGACGATATTTATAACTTCGATGAGACTGGATTTGCAATGGGATTAACTGTAACGGTAAAGGTTATAATAAGAAGTGAATACTACAGTTGGAGATCACTTTTATAACCTAGAAATCGCGAGTGGGTAACTGCAATTGAATATATAAACGCGGCGGGATAGGTCCTCCCTCTGTGTATTATTTTTAAAGGTAAGGTCTTCCTTGAATCATGGTTCGAAGGCCTTCCTAGTAACTAGCGCTTTGAAGTTAGTCTAAATGGGTGGATATTAGATGAAATTGGACTTCGCTGGCTTTAGAAACTCTTTATACCATTAACTTTATTGTGTATGGTAGGAAGGTATCGACTTTTGGTACTTAATGGCCACAGAAGCCATTTAACCCCTTAATTCGATTAAATTTGTAAGGAAAACGATATTATACCAATTTGTATACCACTGTATTCCTCTTACCTTTTATAACCTCTCGATATCGGTTGTTTTACGGTAGTAAAACGGTTGTACGGCCGGTTGGTTAAGATAAAAATGCGGACCGGGATTAACTATATTAATAAACTTGAATTCCTCGAAGTATACCCCTCTGTACGAATTGAAGCTTTTAAATCGGAGACGATTAAAAATAGCTTCTTAGCAGCTGGTTTAATACCTTTTTTACCTAATTGGGTACTTTCAAAACTTAACATTTATCTTCGAATGCCAACCCCCCCCCTAAGCTGGGGTAGCGATTCAAGCCGGAATTTCACCCCAAAAACCCCTTTTAATAGCAAAGATCTATATCGATAGGCTTTATCTATTAAAGCTTTACTTCGAACCTAATCTCGAAGCCCAATAAGCCCTTCTAAATGTGCATTAAACTAACTTATTAAAGGCTGCGAGCTTGCAATGCATAGCGCTATTTTACTAGCGAAAGAAAACAAGGATTTACGGGATGAAAATGAGAATAAGAAGCAAAAGCGGGCCCGATCTAAAAGGCAGATACCCGCCGAAGAAGGCCTCTCAGTTCAAGAAGCTTCTGAAATCATTGCTGGGCTGGTGGAAGCATTAGAAACACCCCTACACCCCCCGGGCGGAAGCACTCAATCAGGGTTAGAACCACGACCACGGGCTGCACCAAGGTGTAGTGGGTGTGGAAAGACAGGGCATAAGATCAATAGGTGTCCAGATAAATGATCTTTTTTAGTTTAATTAATTTAATGGCGTTCTGGTTGAAATATTTACCTTAGAAAACTATACTCTTGGGTAGGGTGGCCACTCGCTTACAGTGGCCACTCGCTTACCGATTACGTTATTTATATTGTATTTTTAATACTTACTATAATCTTACCTGTAGCTCCGCTTGTACCCCACCTGAATCAACCAGCTGTCAGGAACATGAGAAGAATCCTGGAAACCAACAACCTCACCTGTTACTGTTTTAGTCAATTCCAATTGTGGATGGGGTTAATTTAGCCTAAAATGGGCATTAAAGACCTTAGATCAGCGAAATAGTCGATAATTCTCCTCTTCATGCAGTGCAACAGTGACTTTAAGACCCGCCGATCAGACAATCCTGCATTCTATAACTATAGACATCACACTAGCAGAGTTTAGCATTATGGACAAGATCTCAACATATTTTGCCAGTTCTTTTATTTAGGGTTCATGTATGTATCCATCCATGATTAAGAACTAGCGTATATAACATCCATGGATAATGCGAGAAGAGAAGAAAACGTTCCTATTGGTGAAGATCATATATATATATATATATCCAACCATCTAAGACATCTAAGTGTACATAGCATATAGAAAACAAAATAACCGAAGAAACAACAGAAATTGGGCAAGCTGAAAGACAAGTATGTGTACATGGGAGCGCAATCTCCTCTACTTCCTGCGATTCATGGTCTTTTCGCACATCTCAATCAGACCGGTCTTGGCATCACTATCTGGGAAGTCGCTGATGGCGGCAATGGCCTTGTCAGCGTATTCCTGGGCCAGGGCACGGGTCTGCTCAACACCGTTGCTACGGTAAACGAGCTCACGAGCCTAGTAAAACCGAGTCGTTAGTATCATTGCATCAAGCAAGGTCACCCGCGATTTTGAACACCCACCTTCTGCACATCACCCTCCTTGCCGAACTTCCGTCCAACCAGGGGACCAAGCTCCGGGTTGCTCTTCCACGCAAACAAGAGTGGCGCAGTGGCCAATCCAAGCTCCAAGTCTGCACCAACTGGTTTGCCCATCTCCGCCTCGGTGACCGTGTAATCCAACATATCATCAACAAGCTGGAAAGCTAGACCCAGGTTACGGCCATATGCGTACGAAGCCTCGATAACCTCCGGAGCACTCCGTCCCAGAACCGCAGCGGAACGGCAGGACTTGCTGATCAGACTGGCGGTCTTCAGGTAGGTCTTCTGGAGGTAGTAGGCAAGTGTCTCGTCGGTGTAGACGGGTTTCGCTTCGTCTTGCGCGGTGTTCTTCAGTTGCATGAACTCGCCCTCCACCAGATTAGCAATAACAGTGGCCATGAGTTCGGTGACCTCAGGATCGCGCAGACGAGCCAGTGCTACCGAGGCACGCCCAAGCAAGAAGTCACCGGCTAGCACGGCCATCTTATTTCCGAACGCTAGGTTTGCGGAGCTATTGGCGCGGCGTGTAACGGCATTGTCGATAACATCGTCGTGCAGGAGAGACGCTGTGTGAATCAACTCTGTGATCTCGGCCAGCCGCCGTTGTGAAGGTAGGATGTTGTCATCTCCCACGAGATCATATTTGCTCTCGGCGTTCGGGGCCACGAGCGGGTTCATTTCTGGGTTGGCGTCTTCGAGGATAGATGGTGCACTGAAGGAGGAATCGACGGGGCTCGGTTTATCCGTGTAGGTATGGTGCTTGCGAGGGTCCAAAGCTGTTGCTTGGGACATGAGGAGAACAAGCATGGGCCGCATGTGCTTGCCCTCACTATGAGTGTAGTACTTGGCGACCTTATCCAGAGCTGGGTGACCCGATCCAAGTAATTGTCGGATGTTCTTGGTGAGGAATTTGAGCTCTTTCCCAACCATTCTCAACGGGTCGACGGAGATACCTGGAGGCGCCTTCGGCATACCCTTGAAGATGGCCTGGGCCGCTGTCACGGCGGCCCCAAATGGTGAGGCATCCCGCCGGCGTGTCGGGTGGTATTTGCGAGATTGAAGAGCAATATGCACGAAGCGGAGGTCATCGCGGAGGCATTGGGAACAGACAGTTGCTCGTGATGAGAGGATCAGCCCGGTGGCCGATGCAGTTCGAGCTCCCATGCTCAATGCGAGGGCTCTTCAATTATAAACGAGAGATTCCAAATTAAACCATAGGAAACCAATCCCAGGGAACAATATCGATGTGAGGTGTCTGCGGAGTCCAAGGACGAACAATCTTGCGGGCGGGAAGATTTCGAGCTCTCTCGGGTCGGCACGGACCCGGTACCTACGCAGCCAAGTATGACTCGGTGACCTGCTATTGACACTTCTCTACTTCAAAAAGATACGATTAAGGTGATATTAATAGAGGACAGTATAGTCTACAAGTCATTGATCACTCAGTTATGGCATACGATTCTAATAAAGGCACAATGCAAGAAATAATTCCAGTATAATAGACACAGAAAACTGCGCCGGCCATCTTGGTCCCCTTCGTAAACATCCGAATGAAGAACCAGAACAAGGAAAACAAATTGCACAATTAACACAAGGGTTGAAGAAGGCCGCTACGAGGTAGATACCCATGCATGGGACCAGTGCGGTAGACGGGGAAGAAAAAATGCTGTATCGATTATGGAACAACCACACTCCTCTTTAAATGGCATCGAAATCACCACCGGCATCTTCATCGTCCATGTCTCCCTCCTGGATCTCTTTGGCAAGCTCGCGCTCCCGTTCCCGAGCTTCTTGGGCACTCTTGAGCTCCAGGCGGTGCTGGTTCATGGGGAAACGCATAGCCTAGATCGAGTCCATGTTAGTAGATATTATTTTAGGGATGTTCAGTGAGAGACGGAATAACATACCTTAACACTCTCATCGTGGAGGGCCAGACAGGCGCGGATACGCTCGTGGAACGCCTCGCCAGGCTCTCTGGTGGCATAGATGTCACCCACTTCCTTACTCTTCATGAATCCGTGCTCGTGATCAAGCGTAGCCTCGATAACACCGTCTCGAATAGCCTTGGCCACAATGTACTCGGCAGATTCTTCGCTGTCGAGTCCAAGGCGAAGGCAAATATCCCGCAGCGAGATACGAGAGTAAGACAGTGACATCATGCGAATACCGGTCTTGATGACATTCTGCCGAAGACGCAAGATCAAGGTGTATGTGCCATCTTTCCGGAAAGTCTCACTGTAGGTGTTGACAATGTTGAGGAACCCATCCAGATCAGCAACACTGACTGCCTGAGAAAGCAACAGATAAGGGTGCATGGCCCGTTCCAGAGCCGGTTGGCGGAAGACTGCACGGTCAGGAATATCACCCATCAATAGCTCGACAACGACCAACAACTTGTTAGAGGCCTGGTAGAACCCACGAGCCACCGGGCTAGCAGGCGACTTACGCGTAGCCCCAATCAGATGACTATGGGCCTCTGTGTATTGCAGCTGAATAGCACGGATGCGGCCGAGGTAGAACAGATACCGAGCAATCTGATTGTTAGAAGCAGCCACGGGGAATGGGTTGTGCGAGATCAGTAGATCTGCCTGTGAGATATGAGACGTGGACAGGTAGTTGCGAAGCAGCAAGGTCATCACAGTAGCCTGTGTATCGACATCTTTCCGAAGCACAGCCGTGCGAAGCGCCGCCAACAATGGCTGGCGGATAGTGGTAACAGCCGCTGCAGGAGAAGGAGGAAGCGGAGCGATTTGCTCGAAGAAGAGAGAGTAGTAAAAGTACGCGCGGGCGGTGAGAGAATCCAGCGTACGACGGTTCAATGCTCGCAGGCGCTCGATCAAGTTTGTCGAGAACTGGACTCCCTTCTGAATCTCTCGTTGGTCGAACAGGTATATCTGGACGAGAATAGCAAGATATGCATCCACCTCGGCAAGGGTCTCCTGAGCGATGGGATTCTTATCCGAGTCAACTTCCATATCCGAACTAGCTGGAGCATTTTCGAAAGCATTGGTTTGGCCAAGAGCTTCCAAAAGGAACGAGGCGGTAGAGCTAGAAGCGGAATAGGTTTCCACAATGACTTCGGCGAGGACCTCCGGGGTGAGGTGTTTCCGCATCGACGATATCGATCGCAGAACACGGAGGGTAAATCTGGGGTCGAAATGGGCAACGGCTCGCTCGAGAAGGGTAAAGTTGGATTTGATGTCTAAAAGCATGCCGGACAAACAGACATATAGTTAGACATTTGGACTTCTTTGAGCAACAAGGAAAACTAGACGAACCTTGAATCGCCTTAGTTGTCGGGTCGACCTCTGGCTCGGTGGTCTCGACATCCTCCGCACCTTCCATCGTCACATCGTCCTCCTTATCCTTGCCAGACGATTTGGAACCCTTGGTTGGGGGCACTACAACAGTCATCTTCTCGTTACTTTTGCGGTCCTTGCTGGTGCTGGATGAGGATGTAGGCGCACCTGCCGTATCTCCCATCTCAACATCTTCGGATCCATTCACACCGTTCTCGGTTGACTTCGATCCGTTCGTATGCGACTTATCATCGTCTCCCATGTTGCCGTTTGATGCGCCTTTTGCGTCTTTCTTGGCCGGAGCTGACTTGGCCTTGTTGGCGGCGGCGCGAGTAGTGGGCGCCTTGTCTTTCGCACCCGGGCTCTGAGAGTTCGAGTTTGCCTTTTCACCGTTAGCGGATGAAGAGGTGTCGGATTTATTGTTTGATCGCAAAGAACGCCTTTCGGCCGGCATCTTTCTCAAGCTGTTGAGCTCGGCTGGGCAGCCACCAAGCTATGGAAGGAGTAGGGGGAAGGGCGAGTGAGCACGATGTGAAGATAGAAAGCAGAAAAGCAATTACAAAAGAGCCAAGCTGCTGATATCACGAGTCTCGATGAAGAAAAACTTGTGTGGACAGATGGATGAAGTGGATGGGTGATGTGATGTCAAGAGATGGGATGAACGGGCGCGAGAGACCAGATGAGTGCTTAGTCAGTAGGAGCTTACCGCAGCCTCACTCGGCGCTTTTGCTGTTGAAGCTGTTACAACCAGAATATATTGAAAGAAAATTGGCAACAATAGAATAAGAACAATCTGTAAATCTAAACTAAATCAGCACCATCGTATTTGGTCAAATTTAGCTTGGCTAGATGCAATTACTGATACCCAGGCATATTCTGAATTTAATGCCTCAGGCATATATGCAGCTTTCCGAGAGGTAAACGGTGCGGTGCAGTGTAGAGCGTTCAACCACTCATCCTTCACGATCTAAGGCTCTCAAAACACCCACAACATGTCATTGCTCAATTCTCACCTAGAACAGATTAGACTCTCTTCCAATGCTATCGCCGATTTGCCGTTAGTGCCTATGATCTCCCTCAACCATGTTGCTTTGACTAACGCAAGCAAGCATTCAGGTTCCCTCCCCCACGTATTTTCACCACTGCACTGCTGGGCTCTCACGATATAACAGCATTGATTCGTGATACCGAAGCCCACGAACGAGCACTCTTCCAGGTTGACCCGTCTACCAAAGCCCATGGACCACAAAGACGCGCCACACGACGCGGGACTATGTTCCCCGCTGAGACCGAAAGGGAGTCAATGGCAAGCCGCATTTATTCAGCGCGGGACAAGCGCAACCAGTCTGCAGTGGCAAGGGTACTGGGACATGATATGATGGAGGAGATCAAGCGATCAGCGGGCACCTCGACTAGAGGACCCCGCGGGGAGGTCAACATTGAAGTGCTTCTTCGAGGCGCCGAGATCCTGTGCAATGTTTAGTGAGTGCTATATACCTGATAACAAGTATTGCTTGATCTAACCAGCTCAAAGCCCCGTTGCCGGTGCACAGGAAAAAATTGCCAACCTTCGCTATCGGCATGAGATGATCAGTGAGTCCATAGCGCAGTTAGAAGGCCGGGTTGCAACGAATACTGCAGAACTGGATCATATGAGACACTCTTATGGAGATGATGAAGATGATTTTCCCCCTGCACCGGTGGCACAGCCAGAGATTCCAGAGGTCACTGATGAGGATATTGAACGGGAGTTGGCTGAAATCCGGGGCTTGGAGCAGAGGAAGCGAAGGCTCGAAGAACGGGTTACAGGCATGGATCGAGATTTGGGTGGTTTGATAGGCTGAGCCTTTCTTTCGCGATGGTTATATTCCTGCCTTATGGAAGACTTTCTACTGACCTCTTGTCTGCCTCTCTACCCACCAAACAAGGACATCATGCTCTCTGGACACCTCCGGCTGGATACCACAACTCTATCTAAATGAGGAGCTCTCCAGGTTGATGACTCGTCCCTGGTTTACACTGCCCTGACCATTGGAGACAATAGGGTCTGACAAGTTGTTATACTTAGCCAGAATAGCCTTCTCAGTTCTGCATGCTGCTCATACTGAGCCTTTGTCCCGAGTGAGGCTTACTTTTGGGTCGCTTCTAAGTTTCACCGAAAATGCGCCTGACACCTGCGTCAAGGTCATCACCACCCACAGCCTCTGGTGCCCGTCCTATCCATGCCAAGTTCCCTATGGGAGATTTTCGTGATACATACAGCTTTTCATGTTTTACGATAGTCATGAATATCAAGATAAATCCATTATTCACGATATTATTACTCAGCATCAACTGGGTTATTTACAACGTACTATAGCAGAAACCACGTACTACATACTAGTGAATTTCCTCTGTTATTTCTTCCAAGGCATGTCAAATATGGCTGTGAGTATTCCGTATCTCCAAAAATCATAGAACGGCCTACCTGGACAAAAGCAAGCGCAGGCTTAACCCCGAGTTCATATAGCGCTATTGGCCCGTTTGGGTGTATGATTGGAGAGGTTGTGAGCACAGTGCAAACGTTGCTTATATTACCGCCGTGACACCACCGATGCCCGTACCTGTTACCATGTATATAGATATGTGACCAGCGGTCGCTATTAGGCGGCTGCCAGCTACACAATATCATCATCTCTTCCCTCAGCTATCAATGCAATGACCGGTAGCATGTCGTGGTATATGACCAGGCCTATTATCTTCACTCTGCATTGATCAAATCCCTAGCGGTCTTGCGGTTCTTATATATCTTCTCTCCATTCACTCAGATATCATCCGGGCGGGGGGGACGCAGTTCCTAGCACGCCTGCGACCATTGAACAGCTTCATGATCTTTATCTTGCTCTCATTTGCGATTGTACTTCTAATACCCTGTTGCTGCTAGTGGGTGTATTGGTCTACATGGATCATGCAAAGGAAGGAAGCAGGATACACGCGTAACAAGGATAGTCGGCCGCTTGTGTAGCCTGTCATGTCTTCTAGTGGTCTTTTTATTTGTCTTTTTATTTGTCTTTTTGGATGTCTTTTTGGATGTCTTTTTTTCGGGTATTTCTCCCCATTCTCGATCACTTAACAGGCTTCTCCCAGAGCCTTGAATTTTTGTGGAATTTCAGAAAAGTTCGGGGCATGCAAGCCTAAAATATGGTCAATAACGAACCAATGACCGCGATGTTATTTACTTCTTCGAAAAAGCAATATGGCCAGGCCCAGCCCGACCTAGCCCGGCCTAACCACGTGGTTTGTTTTGCTTTTTGCTTTCATTTGGTATATGTACCCCCGATCAGCAAGAGGAGATGTAAACAGAGGCGCAAGACAACAAAGTGTGTGCGAGCACTGGAGTTGCCCATCCAGCAAGCGCTCCGTGGGATGGAGGATCAGTCTTAGACAGCTGAGACATCCAGTAGCAGTTCTTTTATAGGGTCAGAGAGAATAGCTGTTTAACGTATATAGGTTAATTGGCCCTAAAGCCCTGAACCGTCAATCACGTAGCATCTACACAAGAATGTGACAACATTGGACCTGGCTGTCCTCGACAGCAATGAATCAACTAGATGATTCCAAAATGGCATTTTTGAGTATATTAATGGTTGGAGTTGTATACTATTTTGAATGAGCAGACTGGTGTAAAGGCGGTTTATAAGAATTCGCTGTGATTGTCTATAGATCAGTGACCAGGCACGTGATAATGGTTCGTGCTCAGGCTTACTCCTGAAGTTGACCATGCGATATACAGCAATAGTACATAGACTAGTTGATCTAAAGTCGAAGAATATCACAGCCAATCAAAAATAGCCAAATTATCATACTAAATAATAAAGATATATGAATCTGCGAGATTGTAGTTTGAACATCTCTGTTATAAAGGACGGATGCCAAGACCGGGCCCAACCTCATCCGCCGTCAGAAGTCGTAATCTGCCAAATCTGAGGTTGATTGCATTCGAACTTGCCTGCTCTAACATCTGCGCGATAGACTACAGCCTTGCTTGATTTCTAGGCAACGGCGATCGGCTATATATATTAACATAGACCATTTCGTGACGACTACCCTGTCTCCACCATTCAACTCCTGCCCTTGAATCACTAGCAGAATACCAGCATATCAACTCGGATATGGATGGGTCTCAGGGCCAAGTTGGCCAGCCAATGGGTGTCCCGCAGCAGCCACAGCACTCAAATCTCATTCGAACCGATCAAGTACAGAAGCTACCGCACCTCAGTGACCAGCAGAAGGCCCAGCATACCCAACTGGTGCGCAGCCTCTGGGATATGTTGAACACCCGCGATCCACAGACCCACGAATACCAACAGGCGCATACGAAGCTCTCGCAGCTCTCACAGAACTTGATGAAAGGAATGCGGGTTTTCCAGCAGAATCGACAGCAGGCAATGCAGCATCAGCACCAGCAAGCGGTGCAGGGACAGCCAGGACAACAGCCACAGCAAGGGACACAGCCGGTACAGCAAGCTACCCAGGGAGCTGTTCAGGGAGCGCAGGGGCCACAGGGACAACCAGTCCAGCGGACGCAATCGAACAATCCACAGACGATTAATCAGCTCATTCCGCAAATCCAAGCCCGGGTCAGCGCGCTCAATTTCTTCCTGCCTCCGAACGTGACTCCCGAGCAGGTGCAGACATGGATACCTGAAGCCCGGTTGCGATATGGTATCGCTCTTCAGAAACAAGAGGTTGGACGAGCTCGGATGGCTGATCTTCGTTCGTCATATGCTCAGCGGCAGGCCCAGGGCAATATGAGCCAGGAGGAAATGCAAGAATTCAAAAACCGACAGCTGGCAGCTGAAAAGCTGTTCCGAGAGGGTAGCGAGTTCTTGAACAAGTTCAAGGAACAGCAGGAAAGCTTTAAGCTTCAATCGCAGCAAAATCCACAGAATCAAGCCATGAATCAGGCAGGACAGGGGAATACGCCTGCTAATTTGAACCAAACCCCAGTCGCGCCTCCCATGTCAACACAAAACGTGCCAAATCCCCAGGCAGGAGCGGCAGCCAACCCCATGCAATCAGGACAAACTCAAGCCCCAGCTCCTCACACCATCAACTCAGCGGTCAACGCAGCACGCCAAACTGCAATGTCTCCCTCTACCTCTCAGCCTGGACAGCCACCTTCTGCGCAATCTGCTGGAAACACTCCAGTCCCAATCAGTGCACCGCTGCCTCAAGTGCAACGTCCACAGCCATCCCAGCAAGGAACTCCAGGAGGACAAGTCACATTCAGCCAAAACCCTCATCCTGACGGTTCCGCCCCCACGCCACCAGGGCCCCCCCAACAGGTGAACCAAGGCCCACCTCGTCCTCTCTCGCACCAAGCTGCTATCTCACAAGCAGCGCAAACCTACACCAACCCCACCCCTCAACAGCAAACAATGACTCAGCAAGCCCAGGCTAACCAGCAGGCTCACCCCCAGGGTTATCTTTCAAACCGCCCAGGCGAAACTTCCACCCGTAACACCAACATGGCAATCCCCAAGAACCTTCATGTCTCCACCCCCGAGCCCGTCTCAATGCCAGGCTCGCGCCCCTCTCTTTCTGGCGGTCCCAGCCACGGTGCCATGGGTATGATGGGCCAGCCCGCGATCCAAAAACACCCTGGCTACGTCCTGGAAGGTGAAGGCCAGCGCGTGCTGAGCAAGAAGATGCTCGACATCCTCGTGCGACAGGTGACCGGTGGCGGCGAAGGAGAAATGCTGACTCCAGATGCGGAAGAGGTATGTTTGTCCCGTTTCTCCCTTTCACGATGAGAGATAAATATGAAAGAAAAGATCGGAAATATTAATGGTTTCACAGTTCATCCTCCAAATGGCCGACGACTTCGTCGACGAAGTCATCACCCAGGCCTGCCGTCTCGCCAAACTGCGCCCTTCCTCGACCCTCGAGCTGCGCGATATCCAGCTCGTCCTTGAACGCAACTACAACATGCGTATCTCCGGCTTCTCGACCGATGACCTCCGCACCGTCAAGAAGCCCCAGCCTACCCAGGGCTGGACTCAGAAGATGTCCGCTGTCCAGGCTGCCAAAGTCACTCAAGGCAAGAACGAGTAAGATGCAGATGGTCTGCCATCTGTCTTTTCTGATTATGCTGCACACAACGCTTTGCTTTACGTTTTTTCTTCTCTTGGAGGTCAAATAGGGTGTTTTTTCTTTCTTCTTTTTCTTTCCCCATCTTACTATTTTACCCTTTTATATTGTCTCTTGAGAATATGGCGTACCTGGTGTATGGGCAGGTCTTTCTTTGCTTCTTTCATTTGGCCGCATTCATGGTTGGGACGGGGTCTTCTTGGTCTTTTAGTTAGGTCCATATATGCTTTCTGGCCGCCCAGTCTATGCAGTGCTTGGATAATGAATTTTCTATCCTGGCTTTCCTGGCTTTTCTAGATTTGTTTCGGTCCGTGTGCTGTTAGTCTTGTGTATGTATGTGCTGGCCTTGGGCTCTACTCTACGTCTGTCCACTCCAATATAGAGAAGATATAGGCATATTGAATCAAGCCTTACTGCGCACTGTATCTAGGTAGTTACCCTCTGTACAGTGTTACTATCAAGTATTTACTTTACCATTTACGAATGGATACAACGAACAGGAAAAAAAGTAAGTTCCCACGCTGAATTCTGCTAAGTTGATCATCCTCAGCAGTTAAGAAGCACGAATATCGGGAGACAACATGTGGTATAGTGGTTAGTACAGGGTATGGAGAGAGACTCGATCAGGGAAGAAGCAAATCAAAGAGAAAAGAAGAAGAAGAAGAAGTGGGATACACAAGAGAGGTACAAAAAGGAAAAAAAGCGCTCGATGAACGGAGTGAGGACCGGATTCTGGGCCCGATGGTATTCTTTGGCTGTGAGGGCGTTCTTTGAAAACAAAAGGGAAATGAGAAAGGAAATGAAATGGTTGGTGGAAAGATTGGATCATCGATGTGACGTTGGCGGAAAATATGACAATAACACTCATTGGACTGGAGATGAGACCTGGTTATCATATAGAGAGTGTGGCAACGGTATGTTCGATCAATGAGGGTGGAACCTGTACAGTTCATGCGTGACCCGCGGACAGTACAGGGTCGTGGTAAGCAATGTTAAAAAGAATTAAAGCGTTCGAGACGGCGAAGAAAAGGGGGAAAGAGTCGGTGAGGTTGGGCCTTCAGGCCTTGAGTTTGGGGCTTTGTCCAAATGTTCCGAGTAATGCAGGCAAAAATAAACAGGAAACAGACGAAGAGGTGGAGATGAGTCGCTCAACAGTCAAGAGAAATTATACACATGTCACTCGTGAACATCAGTTTCTTGCGGAAAGTGTTTGGGGGAAGTATGAGGATGGGAAGATGATATGCCTCGCGCAGACCCATGCTGAGGAAACAAAATAGGTGGTTCTATCAAGAGCAACAAGGGGGATATCTCGCTGAATACAAAAAAAAACAAGACAAAGTGACGAATTAAGGTATCATAGGGATGTCAGTATGTCAGTCGCTAGAAAGAGCTAACGTCGGGCCGGGTTGGGAGTCGGAAAATTGCGCCGGTCAACTTCCTTGCCTTTGCCGGGTGCCGATGGACCGCTGCGAGGGATGGGAGGCAATGCCTTGTCTGATGCTGGAGGGCCGTGTCGGCTGTGTGAGCTGCGCCCTCCGACACTGCTAGCCTCGCCGGCTTCATCCACAATGGGAAGAGTCGAAGTCGGGCCGGGACCCCCGGCATCTGCTGGGTCCCAAACAGTGGCTAATGTTCTAGGATGTGTGACGGACACGTCTTTCGATGCCTCCTTCTCCGCTGCTTGCATTGTTCTTTCGACAGAAGAGGATCTCGAACTTGGCTTTTCAGTTGATTGCTGAGGTGCACCAGATGCGGAACCGCGTCGTCGTTCGGCTTCTTCCTTTGACATGGTGATTCCCTTGATGAAATTAATGAAGCGCTCTCCGTAGCTCTCTGGCGGGATTGGAGAAATCTGTCCCCGGTCATGCGAGAGTCCTTTGAAAAAGTTCTCGAATTTCTTGGTGGTCCCGTAATGAGTCAAGCAATCAATAATACCGAGGTAATAGATCTCGTCACCGGGTTGGCCATTCTCATGGGTGGCTCGGAAACCTCCATCATCCGCGTAGAAGACATGATATTTCCGTTCATCGAGGATTTCTTCTGGCATCTTCGCAGCTGCCTTGTCTAATGGAACAGGCCGTTCACGTTTGATAAGCATGCGCAGCTCCCGGGCCTTGCGTTCATTCTCCAATTTCGATGGAGTGCGCATCAGGTTGTTGGGAGTCGGAGCCGTATCCTCTTCGCGATTACCTCCTGGTTGGAAGACCTGAAGCGTCTTGTCACGCAATTTCTCTTCATTGCCCCTACCTGCATCATGGATGCCTACCAGAAGAGAATAGTCCATTATCTTGAGCCTTTGAAGCAACACAACGTCGCGTTTCAATTGCTCAAGGAAGAATTCTCGTTTTGCCGGGCCACATTCTATGTGACGGTTGCGACGAACCCAGTTGAGGTCCTTCATAGTTGCTCTAGGGTTTCTTTCGAGATCTGACTCTTGTAGATCACGGCCAACCGTCGAGCCCTTCAGGTCGAATGTCTGGTGGATATCCCGGTGGGGCGGGAACAGGTTATTCATCACGACGAAGTGGATCTTTCGGCCGTATGCCATCTTGACTCGGTGCAATCCGTAGAATTGTGAGATGAGAGTGCTTGGGTTGTTCTCCACGTGCCGGTAGTACTCAGGAAGAATCTTCCGGAGAAGCTTGTGCTCGGAATGGTGAATGGTCTTGATAATGTACTTGTAGTCCCGCGAGAAGTAAAAGAAACTCCCGCTCTTGCCAGGGGAACCCAGTTCCGACAAAATGTACTTGCTTGTGAGAGACATAAGGTAGTCGGCAGGATCGAGGCGAAACTTGGCACGAAGGTGTCGGAATACCCAAGGTGCGTAGTCTTTGAACTTGAAGTCGTATTTGGCGGAGGGAATCAGTTCGTTGCCGGTTCTGTTACTGTCAGTCATATCCAAATTGTCAACATTACAAGGGGTACACACATGTCAAAGGAGAACTTGTGCCTGGCATTAAAGTCCGCCGGGGTGAGTTCCCGGTCCATTTTCGCGTTGATTCTCGAGACCGTAAAGCGGATACCAGTCAACATGTTGTATGCGGTTACATAGTTGACGTGGTTCTGGTCCACCTTGGTGCCCACAATCACCCGGTCGTCGTCCTCCTCTTCGCGACGTCGTCGCGAGGCTCGCTTTTGTTTGATAGCTTCGGCCCATCGGGCTGCATCTTCATCCGGCGGTGTCTCATCCAAAGTGATATCTTGCTGGGTGCTGGTTTTCGTTGCCCGTCGAATAAGACCGACTGACGCGCGTCGGAAGCCGGTCGTCGGTGACATTCGGCCAGTGCTATACGCAGCATCATCATTGCATTCTGCGCTTTCTCGTCGAACACTAGGCGTTCTTGGAACCTGCAATGAATTTCGCTGTCGCATATTAGAGTTCTGCGATTCTGGCACGGGAGCGACATCGTGTGTAGATGAGGCGGGTGGGGAGGCATGACGCGGTTGGCTGGGCTTCGAATTTGGTGCCAGGCGATCAGGGTCTGGAGAAAAACGGCCGGTCTCATCCTGCTGCGGGATCTGTAAGAGCGAGGCCGACGGCGAGATCGAAGACTCATCGTAGGGCGGATAACTATCTCCATTGACCATAAGTTTCCCCTGAACAGGTCGGCCATTTGCAGTGCCATTGGGTTGTTGACTAGAAGGGGATGTGGTTGTGGAGATAGCTCCCGGTCCAGTGTCCGAAGGTTTTCGGTCCAGCATGGCGGACGGCCGGCCGTTCTCGCGGGGATCCCTGACGGGCCCATTGCCTACCGACTGCATGCTGCCGTCCTTGGACAGGGGCGGGTCGCGCGTGTACGAGCCGACACTAGAGCGAGGGCCATTCAGGGAGTATGTACTACCGTTCTTCAGGTCGGTCAAAAGGTTCCTGTCATTCTGATGAGAGTCGTTATTCGCGTCGTCGCCGTTGGGCCAGTTAGTCCACAGGAACGTATTTCCGACGGGGGTCTTATCATGCGACTTTCGGACTGATTCGAACGAGCGCGGATGAGTGGCTGTGGCCGTGACTGTGGCAGTCTGATAGGAGACGTCGTTGGAGAAGACAGGCATATTGAAATTTCAGGGAACAGGGTGACGTGAGTTCTGCGTGGACCGGCAACCCGAAGTGACGGCAGTCGCCCTTATTGGCGGAGATCCAGGAAAGTTGTGAACCGGACGGAGAAAGGGGAAACAAAGAAAGTATAGAGCCAGGTGCCCAGGGCGAGGATATTCAACCGATCAACATCACTCAGTTAATGCAAGGGAAAGGGGAGATTAAGGGTAAATGAGGTGGTGAAATGGGGGAAATATGGGGGGGTGGGAAGGGGAGGAGGAAGATGGTTGTCTGGGAGAAAAGAATTACACGTACAAAATGTACGCGGACCTCCACTTCACATGTTCCTACATTCAATGATTCTATATATTAGATGTTATGCTATATTCTAGTACGGAGGAGACATGGCCACTTTTATTCTGATTCTTTATGTAGAGAATATGTGTTCTGTTCGTTGTATAAGGAAATACCAAGGTATTAGGCATGAAAACTCAGATGTTTGATGAGCGTACAACATCACGTAGTTTAGCACATCATTTCCATATATTTTCCTCCTTTATATTACTGACTACTAGTGAACTAGTATCGCTTTCACATAGTTACTCCGTACTGCCAGTTTCATTCTCTTCAACTCTCAACCAGTTGCATATGCAAGGAGGTCGTGTTGTACAACTCTATAGAATACAGTCTCTAGGGAGTAAGTTATCAAGAGATACAGTTACCTATATGTTATACATAGTCACCTATAATAAGATATATCATCTACTATACCATTGCCCTGGGCCAATACCCATATAACATACTCCGTACTCCATACCAATACACGTGGAGATGCAGAGTGGCGACCAATTATACGCCAATGAGCCTATCTCCTGTCCCTGACCTTGTAATTTCTTGGGTTTAGGGCAGGGATTGAGTAGATGTTATTGTTCTTCTGCATCTTTTTCTACTGTAGATGTTATATACTCCCTATATCTACTCAAAGAAAAGCAATTGTTCCAAAAATAGGGCTCAATAATGAAATCTTCCGCATCTGCGCCACAGGGGAAATTCTCCACTTCAAGGCCAAAGATACAATGATACAATGATACAATGTGGTAAGGATCCTCTCTGACCGGCATCCCCGTCGCCGAGCCCCGACCTGAACAAATTGAACATCCGAGCCGAGAGAAGAGTCATACTGTACGGAGTAGAAAGGTGCGATATTATAGGTGCATTCGTGTGCGGAACAGACCGAACTGCTAATGTCCATATCGGAGCTATCTATAAAGACATGTGCTCTTCTCCCTCACCTCTACGGAGTACCAATTATCTCAAATTTCACTTTTCCTGGCATATTTCGTAGCTTCAACCCATGGTCCTTAACATCGGTAGCGACATAACCATTCAGAGATTGCTATCATGTACCTTGCGGGAGTGTTACATTGATATGTGCATGTTCCTGTATGCGAATGGCAAGGTAGGATCGCACGTCCTAAATCGCCACTTTGTCACATGACTTCTGTAGCCCGCAAAAACACGGATTTGGTAGTGAAAATCCCCGTTATGGAAATACTATAACAAGTATATGACTCCCTTGATTTGACCATCTGCCAATTCTATCGTCAATTGTAGATGTATAAATCATTTCTAATACTATTACTATTAAATAGAATACTCTTATGATTCTATTCACGATAAGGCCTCGGGCCGTGATCTGGTTAGCCCCCACCGAGTGTACCCACAAAATCCCAAGATCACACCAAATAGCGTAAGATTGAATCAAATGGGAATGAGTTAATTAGATTTCCCTTCGCTAGCACTTCCTATTTGGCAACGATGGGCTAGTAGAGGCCGAATCTACGAACTACGTGGCGTACTTGGCCATTTCCGTCTTAGTTGGATTTATGGGAACAAAGAAAAAGCAGCTCCACCGCAACCTCCTACAACACCATCCCTATAGTTCATGATTCTAGCTCAATATTGTGGCTTTAATTGTAGAATATTGCATCATCCGGGAAGGTCCTCGCTTGGCGTGAGACCTGATTTGTCTCGTCGTGCACTATGTTGAACCTACTCAACCTTTTCGCATAGATTTAGATGGGCAAGAAGTAAACCTATCAGAATTGGATGCCGATCTTTCTAAGGTTGTTCTCAAAAAGAGGGGAAAGACACAGCACAATTTCGCAGGAGCTAAAGTAGTTTTGACCGGGGTAGTTGGTGCAAGCAGCCATATCAGGCAAGAAGAGTCATCTTTCGAGGTCATTATAATTCAAACGCGGCAACGCCGCTAAATGCAAGAATACGGGCAGAGAACTTGGAAAAAGTAATTAGTTCTTGTGTTGACCTGCCAGCAACAGTGTCACAACTGCCCATCCTTCCATCAAACCTTTTATCCACTGTGTTTATTGCCCACTATCATGACTATACAGCAATCTCCCAATGACAGCACCCAAAAGGTGTGGAACCATGAGTTTACCTGGACAGATAAGCACTTCACGCCCGAAGAGCTGCTGCCATTGAGACAGCAGACCGATGATCTTGCCGTCGATGCTGTGAATCGACTGCAGGCTATTGCTACAAAGGCGAAGAGCAAACAAAGCAACACGGGACATTGTTTTGGTCGATTTGACATGTATAGTGTTCTGAAAGAACATCATGAAGAAGACAGTGTGCTGCAAGAACTCTGGCAAGAAGTAAACACAGTCCCTGGATGGGTTGACTGGACACAAATTGAACGCGGACAAGAGTTTATCCATCGCTATATGATCCCCAACATTACCGGACTTGCTCTCCAGGGATTCCTAGGCGGCACCGCAGTGGGTAATCCTTCCTTTGACATCGTCTAACAGATTGCTAACTTCAAAAGACAATCGCAGGTGGAACGGAGGTCATCGTCAGAACGGGGGGCTTTTCCATCCGTGTCCTGCCTAGAAGATTCCTCGAAAGCTTCCTATGGCTATTGCAAGTGACAATGGATCTGGAGTCTATCAAACCCGGTGGAGAAGGACACACCTCGACCGTACGCGTCCGTCTATTGCACGCTACAGTTCGGAATCGAATAGTGAAGCTCATGGACCAAGACCCGACGTACTTCGATGAAGCTAAGTATGGCGCGCCGGTTAATATGAGAGACGCAATTCATGCGACGGCTATCTTCTGCTGTATGCCGCCCTTCCGGCAACTCCCTAAGATTGGTATCCAGCCTCGCCCGCAGGAGACGGAGGATTTCCTGGCGCTGTTTCGATACATTGCCTATATCATGGCGACTCCGAACGGCTTCTTTGACGGAGCTGAACAATCAAAGGCTACTATGGAGAGTGTCATGATGTGTGAGCCTGAGCCGACAGAGTCCTCTAAGGCTGTTGGAGCGAATTTCGTCGCTGCTATCCAGGATTATCCTGGTGTCAATGTGTCTAAGTCAATGATCGAAGTTGGATGCCGTGTACTGAGCGGCGACGAACTGGCAGATAAGATGGGATTTTCGCAGCCTGGGATATTTTACAGGGCCTCTTTCAGAGGATGGTGCCAACTTCTTGTGGCTGTTAACGCTCTTCAGCGGTTGTCCCCGGCCTTTGATCAAATACTTATGAGGGTGAGTTGGTTAAAAAAAATAATCGAGACACTAGGAAAAGAATGATGGGTTCAACTACCACCAGAATACTAATGGCTTACAGAAATCGAAAGAGTTCGTGCTCGTCAACGTGTTTGGGGCGTCGATTTTGAAAGAAGGGAACAAATTCGAGTTCACTCACCAACCACAACTGAACAAATTGACCAAGAAAGAGACTAAGACTGATACCAATCTCTCCTGGTTCAGGCCGGTGGAGGCAATCGGGTTTGTTATGTTCCTATTTGAATGTCTTGTTTATGCCCTGGCCTTTGGCTTGCCGGGATATGTTCTCTATGCAAATGGCATAGTCTCTCGCACTTTTCTACATGTCCTTGGATAATGTGCATAACTGCTTGTCAAGTTCTTTCGATGACGTGTGCCACTTCGGTCACTTCTGCTAGAATTACATGGACTTTACCGTTTCTTACCGTTTTTATCTAATTATAGAATGGGCTAAATAAAGTACCGATATCCGATCGTAAAAACCAAGTATATTAAGGGCTTGGGACTTTAGTATCAACACCATGGTACTCGCAAAGTAATTTTGTGTACGGAATATACGCTGTACTATTTTGCATTCTCAACATAGATTGGACTAAGGGCAGTAGAACGCCAAGAAGCCAGGATAAAAATAACTCTGACACTGACACTTGACACGGGACAGAATGTGGAGAGATCTACCGTTTGTTTACAACTTTGACATAGGTAGCATAACTCTACAATTTCAGCTCAAAAATCCAAAACCAATATGAATTCCAGTAACGATGGAATTAATCACAATACCAAGGTAATAAGAAGACCGCAGTTCCCCATTGCAAACCCCACCGCAGGACGCCATCCACTGGACTTTGGAAAGAAGCAAAGCCCATAACAAAGATATCCAAAAAAAAAACTATAGAGAAACAAAACCGAGGAAACCATCAGAGCCACTGTGATCACTGAGTCCAAAGAAAGAAATTACAAGAGAAGAACAAAGAAAATCAGTACCAGGTACTCTCCCTGGAAATGCGCACGTGAAAATATAGGGAGAGCTCAACCTGGTGAAAAACAAAGGCATCAAAGCCTCTACTTCTTGGTGGTCCGCTTCTTGGGAGCTGCCCGGGTTGTCGTTGTTGGCTGAGGGGCAGTAGTCTTGGTGATACGTCCAGACTTGGTCTTTCCAAGAATCTTGGGCTGCTCAACAATAGCAGGAGCCTGGAATGTTTGTTAGTGACAGAGGGAGATGGACTAAACATCTGGAGTCAACTTACGTTATCGGTAGCCTTGCGGGCCTTGCCAGAGTTAGCCTTGGGCTTGGTGGCGGTGGTCTTCTTGACCGCTGCCTTCTTGGGAGCGGCAGTCTTTGCGACAGTAGCCTTCTTGGGGGCAACCTTGGGAGCCGCGGCCTTTTTACAATAAGCCGGGAACATAGAATACTTCCTTGATGAGAGCTTACCTTGACAATGGGCTTAGCAGGGGCCTTGGTGACAGGCTTCGCCACAGGCTTAGGAGCGGCCTTGACAGGAACATCCTTCTTCGCAAGCTTCAGGGGGCCAGATGGGCCTAGAGTGCGACGCGTCAGTTAAATGGTCGAGACATGTGCAACGAAATGCAGAAATTGGTCAAGTCGCGCAAAAGAGAATATAACCCATGCGCAGGGTAAATATTAACTTACCCTTGGGCTGAGTGAACTCATCCTTCTCAACACCAGCCTTGATAGCCTTGTTGAACTGAGAGTCAAAGACACTCTGAGAAGTGACGTTGATCTTGTTGTTCGACTGAACGTACTTCTTAATAGCCTGACGACTAAAACAGGGGAAATTCAGTCAGTGGCTGCTTTCTGAAATAGATGGCGCGAGAATCCAGACCGATCCCCGAGGCATCGGTGACGGAAGGAAAACACCAGAAAACATACCTGCTACCATTTCGTTCTTTCAACTGTACACACAAAGGGCCCGAGTCAGCAATGAAATCCGATTAAAACTACGAAATTGATTTGGTTGTGCCATGCCCAAAGGCAAAGACGTGTCACGGTCGGGCGCGCGACCCGAATCACAACAACCAGCGCGCCGGCAGAGATCAACTCACGTTAATAATGGCATCCTTGATCATATCTGTATCACCCGAATCAGCAGATGCTCGCGACGAAATTCATGTGCATATCGATTTTACGCGATGTGGTGGGCGTTCAGGATTAGTAGAGACATACCGCGGTAGGAAGTGTGCAGAGCAGGCGCCACCTTCTTGGACGCGCTGGTAACCTTCTTGGGAGGCATGATTGATGATTGATTTGAGAAGAGGATGGGATGAAGAAGGTCCGGTTATCAAAAGATGAGAAGACTTGAGAAAAAAAAAGGTGGTGAGAGTGAAAGCAGAAGAAGAAAAAAAGAGCAGAAGGGAAGGGAAGGCCGCGGGGCATCCGCGATTTATAGGCGACCGGTGTTGACAAGATCATCGGAGAGATTTAGAAAAAAGCACTTTCTTTGGGTTTTTCCTTCTTGCAAGTTGTCGTCCAGCTGGTTTTTGTTTTTAATTAACGTGGTGTTTCTCTTCTGTGTGTCCTTGCGAGTTGTCTCTTTGCGTGTTCCAACCTTGGAATGGCTGATATGGCTGATGTCTACAGGTTCTCTCTCTTTCGTATCAGATACTGCAATATCATACATTGTTATATTTCTTTCGATCTCTATTGGAATACCTAAAGACTTTGTGATATTATAACGCGACAATAATCATATAAACTGGTGAACTGGTGCTTCTACGCGTCCCCTTTCCCCTCGATAGAAATCGCGCATACTCTATTTTGGAGGCTTTGAGGGCGAGCCATATCTCTCAGAGTAGGGCAGAGGGAGATCATCTGTTATGCACATTCCAATGCTGTCTGGGGTAACCCTTCCCTCTTGTTGAGCCGAATCTGAACCCTTGAAACCTAGAATCTAGTCGCGAGGAACACAGTTCGGAGATATAGTATGACCTTTTATATCTACAACGTTCCTTAACGCATCAAAGCCTCCTTGCTTGGAGGGGAACCTGGGGAGGCTGCATTGCCTCGTGCTAAAAGGTCACGTTGTAGGTCAAAGACCTGTGACTTGTGACCATGGTACCGCCCCTTAATGATGTCGAGACTCGCCTTATACGAACAACCTTCTATCTTGAATCAAGTAGTGGGTGGGAAATAGGAGATGGTACTTCAGATCTTTTTGATCATGTAGACAATAATGGGAAAGATAGTAGCTAAATAAGCAGACACTCCATGTAATACGGATAACTATATATATTATCGAAACTAACAAGACAAATTATATTTTTCTAGCATTCCATCATACCGGTAGTATCTAGATACCATAAACCATAACAAACACAAGGTTTATGAAGCCCGAACTTCGATCAGAACCCGGGTGGCACACGATAACTCCATTGTATATATCCAAGAGAGGGGAAAGGCTCTCACCTCAGCTGCAACGCCACTACTTAATCACATCGGGATCACCAGGCCAGCCAATCAAAGACGCGGAATAGCCCCAATTCCACCATTCCCCGCTGATACGCGCCCCTAAAGTTACCGAGAAGAAACAAGAAAGGTGGCCGGGGGCCTGGGATCGACCCGCCACAGATGTATGAGGGAACGAGCGCGTTTGCCCCAACGTCGAACCAACACAGACGGATAGTAATGAGGATCTATTCTCATTGGACTATATTCCCAATTTCCTATCGCATGACTCTAATTATTGGCCCATCGGCGTAGCTGGGTGACGGGGATCACCGTATCTGCATCCGCAACCGGCGCGTCGAATCAAGGGCTCAGCTGGCGTAAACGCTGATCCTGCACCACTTAAACTCTTTTTGCATCTTTTGATGGTGGAGATTCCTTATGGTACCTGGTGTCAGTATATATCTTCTGCATTCGAAGTATTTGCTGCTCATTTCGTGAAGATCAGTCGTAGTTGGTGTTGTGAGGCCTCGAGTAATCTCGCTAATCGGACCCGATCTATACAGCCTGGACGCGAACACTGATTATGGACACCCTTGAGATAGCTACACCAGAGCATCTGGAAAGGAGTTTTGATATGCTGAAGTGTTGAGAACAGATGGAAGATAATGAGTATACAGATTTTGGACTCTTTTCCCAACTGTAGCCCCCAGGATCAGACGGAATTCCCATGTCTGCTCTACTTGATCTTGTTTGATCCTGACGTCCAACGGACCGAAAATGGTTACTGGAACAAGAGAGAAGCATCGGAGTACATATTTCTTAAGTTATATTTCAAATCAGACCACCTTTTGCTACGATACAAGGAACTTCATGCCTTGACCCGATCCCGAGGCGAAACGGTCATTTTCCGCAATAAAAAAAATCCTTATGCATAAACATTAGAAACAATAAAACATATAACGCCACGCCAGTCCAGCTCATGTTAGATCAGGAAAATTTTGTATCATAAGTACGGAAAAATCATCTCTCGTCATCAAGAGACTAGGCCGCTCCACGCGGCTTCGACTTGGCATCCTTCTTAGCCTTGGCATCTTCCTTCTTTTTCTTCTTTTGCTGCTGCAGCTTCTCGTCGTGCTTGCGCTTGAGAGATGCCTTTTCGTCCTCAGTGCGAGCGACGGGCTTGAAGAATCCCTCCAGTCGCGACTGCTGAGCTGTCTTGAGATGCTTCGACAGACGGGCGGCACCATTGCGCACACGGTCCTCGTTGAAGCCCTTGTCCCCAACCAGGTACTCAATCAGGCCTTCAACGTTGGGAGCTTCCCACTTGAAGTCGCATTCGGGGTCATCGGCAGGCCGGACGTCAGGGTGGACAAAAAGTTCTCGCGCATCTTCGTATGGCCAGTCCTCAGGAACGACAAATTTCTTCTTCGGGTCGTTCTTCATGAACTCCAGGACTTTCTCTAGAGACTTGTGCTCCTTGATCAGGCTGAGAGCAGTGGTGGCTCCCACTTTGGGAATAGGCTCTAGGTAGTCACAGCCTAGAAGAATGCAGAGATCGATGAACTAGACGTAGTTAGCAATTGTGACTGCGCGTATCATAACCAGAATACGTACCTGTGGGCGGTCCATATCGAGACCCTCAAGCGCTCGATCCAAGTGGATCTCCTGGATAGGTTCCTTGCGCTGCTCACTGAATGTCAAGTGCCGCAGGAGAATCGGCGACTCAAAACACAATGTATCCATATCCTCTGATGCAGCGGCGTACACCTTACCTGCACGAGCCAGGACCGCACATTGTGCTTCGGCCTCCGTCGGCGCGTTAATATAAGGAATTCCCATCAGCCCAAGGAGCTTTTTGCACTCCGCATTGTGTTCACGAGTAACGCGGACAGTCCGCCGTGAGAACTTTTCGATATCTTCCGCAGTTCCAGTTTCCTTGGCCTCTTCATGGGCCTCGGTCGCCTCGGCCTTGCGTGCAACACGCTTCGCCAATTCGCCAGACTTGAGCTTCGGCGGCGCTCCATCGAAGACGTAAAGAGGTTTGATGCCGTTGTCCACCATCCGCAGGGTACGGTAGAACATGCCCATTAGGTGGGATGTGGTCTCGCCAGACTCACTCATGAGCTGTTGACCCTCCGAGCGCACGGCGATCAGGAAACTGTAGATGCTCATCGACCTATTCTGGGTTAGATTCTTGAGCTACCGGGACGATGATCGAATGACGTACGCATCCTAATTCGGAGAGTTCATGTCAGCAACTGAAAATATGTGGTAGGTTATACATTTCATACAATTGCGACCTTGCGGCCGAAGTGGTTCTTGATCTCGCCCGTCTTGATCGCATCGGGGGCATTCTCGGCGATTACCTGGTACAGGTCTGGTATTTATTTAGCAAGAGGTATGGATAATCGGGAATAGAATACTTACGTTTAATACCCATCTTGAACGTGAGCTTAGGTTGTCTCAAGTTGAATTCTTGTGTCTGTGTAGAAGTTGAGCTTGACCTGTCGCAGTACGCGAACGCGCTGGGCCGGAAGCGCGACACCATTTAAACCCAATTAGGCATAGTGTCATGCAATATCACGTGACCGGTCAAATCCGGACCCACTCCTGTCTTATCTTGGCCTGAATATGCATGTCTGCCTCAGGCGGCCAACCGGCAATGAGTAATTATTCGGGCCAGAACCGGCCGGTGTGAAGCTGCTCCGACCCCGCCTTTCTGTATTCCCCGGAATGCGCCAGAAGGAGGATGAGTCCAACCTCCACACCAATATGAAGCGGAATCGCATTCAATTCGAGGCCAATGGCGAGGCCTCGTCTGCTTCTCCCCCTCAGGGTGTCTTCACCCCGGAGGACCGCCCTCACCATGTGCCGAAGATATCTAGACGGATACGGGCATGCACTGAGTGTAAGCGACACAAAGTGCGATGTGATATGAAGGCAACCGACTCGGTATGCTCGCGCTGTCAGCGCATGGGACTGGAGTGTATCGTGAACAAAAGTCTTCAAACATTGCTGGAGGACGAAGCTGAGTAAGTGCCTTATCTTGGGTGTTTACATCGGTGACATATACTGATTGCGCCGGGTTATGATAGGTGGAAATCAATGATCGAATCGGCAATGACGGACCTGCTCAGAAAATCGCAGCTACCGGAGCTATCATACTACCAAGCAGGCGGTGGTACAGAGACACCTTCGAACAAGAGAGGCCGGAAAGACTCCACCGTCTCGACTGATGATACTGGACTTGGGCAACATAAAAGGGCCGAGCCAGTCGGTAATACAGTAAAAAATGGCGCAGCTGGAAGGTCAAATTATGGCTTCTCCCAACAACAGCCACGATATTCTTTAGACCGCGAGGAAACTGGCGCAACTTCTCTGGTCACAGCCCCGATGGGCAGTCTGTACGAGGTGACACAGCTCAGTGAAAACCGCGAGAGCTCGCCCGGACAAAAGCTTGCCCCGGACCAAGTATTGGTCACTGATCTCATCTCGCGCGGAGTGGTCGATATCCAGGAAGCGGAGGAGTTGTTTTATCACTTCGACCAGGTACTCAACCGTTACCTATGGGATGGAGCCTTGCTAGCACATAAAGACTTGACGTCTGTCCGACGATCTTCATCAATGCTGTCTGCTGCCATTTTGGCCGTCACCGCGCTTCACATGCCGACCAAGGAACGCACGTTTGATACATGCTACACCGAGTTTGCAAAATTGGCATCAGAGTCTATGCTGGACCACCATCATACCCTAGATGATATCCGCGCACTATGCATTGGAGCATTCTGGCTTGCTGATGTTAGTTGGAAGCTCTCTGGCTATGCGGTTCGTATTGCAACCGAGCGC